CAGCGATAGTGCTCTCAATAAAATATTGTTGGTGAATAAAATAATAAAATATACTCACAATGTATAGGGCAGGCTAACTGCTCTATGATAAAAGCGTAGGTGGTATAATCCCCACCTGGGATTCTTTGGAGTCTAATACCAGGAAGTAAAATAAATAAAAGGAAAAAGTATATAAAAAAGATAATGGTATAAACGTAAAAAGTGACCAAAATCTATTTATTAACAGTATATAAAAACAGTATAATATCCAAACGCGTTTCACCAATATAAGGCTTTATCAATGATAAGGACTGTGCCTCCTAGACCACAGATGTGCTACAGGCGCTCTATTAAAATCCTATAGTCAATGGTGCCAAATGCAGCTGAGAGATCCAAGAGGATTAGGATGGAGTAATCACCTTTGTCTCTCGACATAAGGAGATCATTTAGCACTCGGACTAATGCTGTTTCCGTGCTGTGGCAGCACCTGAAACCTAACTGGAAAGGTTCAAAGATAGATAGATGGACTTCCAGTTGAGTTGTCACTACTTTTTCAATAATTTTGAAATGAAAGGTTGGATACTGGTCTGTAATTAGCCATGCAGTCTGGGTCTAATAACAGTTTCTTTAGGAGGGGTTTTATCACAGCTTCTTTTAGAGAATCTGGGAAGTCTCCAGTTTTTAGTGAACACTGGGGCTGGGGCGAGTGTTTCAATGCATGCGCTGAGTTGGAGCAGGGTCTAAGTCACATGTAGTAGGGTGTAACATTTGCATGGTTCTTTTAACTCCCTCTATATCCACATTTGTAAAAGAGGACCATAAACTGGGGCAATCTGGCATTCCATTGTAGTGGTTCTGGTGTGTAACTGTTTGGCTTGCTGTGATAGAGGCTCGGATTGAGGAAATCTTGTCTCTGAAGAAGATCGCAAATGCTTCACACTTATCCTAAGAAAAGTTGGTGGGGATATGCATGCATGCTGGTCTGCAGAGCCTATACTGTGCGAAACAGTTGCCTGGGTCTTTTGTGGGAGAGTGCAATTTCACGTGATAAAAATGAAGATTCTTTCTGAGTTATCTTGAATTGATATTCGTTTAGATGTTTAGTAAGAGTGGCTTTATCCTCCAGATCATGTGTCCACTTTCTCTCGAGTTTAGGGCCTGTTCTCTTCATTTCTCTGATGGTGCTATCAAACCACGGTGCATTGTTGTGGGTTTTGACAGTGCGTATGCGTGTTGGTGCAATGCTTTGCAGGGTGTCTCTCATGGTTTTGTTGTTTTTTTTTTCCGATGTAATCTTTGACTTTCATATACCTTTAGTGAACTCTTAGTGACAGTGTGTTGCAGCTACTTTGGGGTTGATTGGTTAAATACGCTGGGGTGAGCATGTAGTATGGAGCTATTGTTAGGATGATTTATCCAGCTCTTGTCTTATCTGGACTCTATACCAATTTCTACTTTATATTTTCCTCTCCATTTACATGATCTCCCCTATCCTTTCGATTTCTAATATGAGTCTGCAAATTTGCACTCTTTGACCTTCTGCAGGGCCTAGTGTGTATTGAAATTACCACTCCTAGCATTAACTCTGTTTGAGTCTAAATTGCTACATTAAATAGTGATTGATACATGTTACCCTTACTGTAGCCTTGCAGTTAACAGGCAAGATTTTTATATATACGAGTTCCTAGGTAACCTGATTTTAATTTACTATTCTTAATAAAATTTATTTATTTTTCTTAGACATTGTTTTGGGGTGGTTTGAAGGAGAGCAGCCCGTTTTGTTACGAGGTGGTCTTTCCTTCACCTTCTGTTTTTTGTATACTTTGTTGTAGAGACAGACTAATGAGCTGGGGTCTTCACAGGTGCCCATAAGTTCACTTAGATCCATATGTGTTACATCCACTGGCGTCACTTTTAATGAGCGGTGTTTGACCAGGTTCTGAGGCTGGAGTCTGGCTGATTGTGATACAATGGACAAGTGAATAGAGTGGTGGTCTGACCAAACAACTGGATTTACAGTTACTGGTGACACTTATAGTCCAGACTGGAACACTAGATCAAATGTATGACCTTTTCTGTGGGTGGAAATGGCGGCGATTTGTGTGAAGCCGATTGCACTCATCAAGCTGAGGAGATCCTGCCCAAGCAGGGATAGGGTGTCATCAATCCAAGTGTTGAAGTCTCCCAATATAAGCCATTTTTGGTGTTCAAGGATTAAGCCAGCCAAAAGGTCTGAGAGTTCCTGAAGAAATTTCTTCCCAACTTTTGGGGTTTGCCGCTCCATCAGGCTCCACATTTTCATCTAACCATGATTCTGTAATGCACGCTAATTTACATGTTTCAAAAAGGTCATCAATAATAGCTGTTTTGTTCCTTATTGATCTGATAGGACAGTCTTGGGATTTTTTTTTTGCTCTGTACTTTGGAAACAGTGTGTCTTCTAATGGGGATCACACGGAGGTTTCCACGATTTGATAGTGCGATTTTTGTGGCTTCTAGGTTGAATCACTTCAGTTGGACTTTGTAAAAGAATTTACTTTGATTCCAAGGTACAAGCTTATAGGTGTCATATTGGATATCCTATATTGAAATTTGCAAACTTGGACTCAGGAAATGCGTAATGCTTAAAATGACACGTAAGACCATATATGTCTAGTTCCTATATCTATATCTGCTTGCAGGTAGACAGGGTGGTGGAGCAGCTATGATAGTGTCACGAGATTGAACTTTAATTTTTGATTTTCCTCCATGACAGCCCCGGTCAGTCCCTCTGATTTTAGGGTAACCACTAGCGAGGAATTGAGTGCAGCGACCGCTTTTTGGGGTCTTAGGGAATACAGATATGAGGGAGTATTGGTGATCATTCTCTCAGCAGTGAAGGCGTTAAAATTGCTTCTAGTTTTTGTAGGGATGTCAGCAGTGGGGGCTGGTTACATTGCCCTGCTCTATAGGAGTCGATATTGGTCCTTCAAATATTTTTGATGAATTATGAGTGTAAGGAAGTTTAAACTAAGTAATTCCTGAATAGGTTATGTATGGATCATGACCCTCCAGTCTCACTGGTCAATTCTCTGGCATTTATGAGACTGCAGGAGCATGATCTAAACGCCAAGACTGCTTCATTATGCTAAAGTTGCTTTGGAGCCTGCAGTGTCTCTTGAAGTCTGTATCTAGCAATAAACTACTATACTACTGCCAGCTAGATCCTAGGACAGCCATCATCAAATATGGAGTTAGCATTGTGGTGGACAGCAGCTCGAATACTTGGGAAAGGCAGTGTACGACCATCGCAAAGTGTAGTGTAGAAGAGGGATTCATGGCACTCCCTGCTCAAGTTTATGAAATATAAAGACGATATGGTAATATGCTTTCATGGTTTGGTTATGCCTATGTTGTCTGGCATATTTAGAGGTACAGAAAGCTACAATATCACTTGTTCTAGACAGAAGACTACTGGTGGTAATGGTAGAGATGATCATGTGTAAGTAACAGGTGAAGCTTTGTTCAAAATATTTTAGTTGTATGTGTGTTGCTAGTTGAAAGTAATCATTCTGGGCAATGCTACTATGTTGCTCTATGAAAGACCACAAACTCTTTTTAGAACTTCCTATTTATCATCTTCATAGAATAAATCTAGAGACTATGGAGTCAGTCCTCCCGCTATTGCTCATGGTCATGGTCAGGGTTTCATTTGTCGAGGTGTTATAAATGTTGTTTCTCTTTCAATAATTTGTTTAAGTCAACATAAAACAATATAAGACCTTGAGGTCTTTGGTGTCACTATTAGATGGCCATTGAACTTGATTGTACTTTATGCACTTCACTTTAATTATGTTATCAACATACATTGAAGGGGGTAGAGCATAATTTGGAGGAAGGGGAGCAGAAACTTCCAATCAATATCTTGGAATATTATTTTTCAAAACTCATTATTTTGATAATCACGAGGCCACGCTTAAATACTTCTCCCTGAATTTGTCCCAAGCTAGCTTCCATGGGAACTCCCAAAACATTCTAAATTTGACTCATTTGGATCTTTTCTCCAAAATTAGACCATAAGATAAAGGGATAACAAAACCACTATAACCATTTCATCTGATTGCATTGCACAAACAGATTCCTTGCTCCACAACCACTTCTAAAAGCAGGAATGATAATGGAGGCTGGAGTAACCCTTTAAATATGACAAACCCAAGAATAGTTCACTTAAAGGACCACTAGAGACCCCCAGACCACTTCAGCTCAATGAAGTGGTCTGGGTGCCAGGTCCCTCTCATTTTTACCCTGCAGCTGAAAGTTTACACTGAGGGTTAATCCAGCCTCTGGTGGCTGCCCTGAAAGCCACTAGAGGCCGCTTCCGCTGGACATCCATAGGAAAGCATTGAGTAATGCTTTACTATGGGCGGTTTGAATGCGCGCAGCTCTTGCCGGGCATGCACATTCGGCACCGACGTTTGCAGGAGGAGGAGAGGTCACCAGTGCCGAGGGAGCCCGGCGCTGGAGAAAGGTAAGTGGCTTAAGGGGTTTTAAATCCCCAGCGGGAGAGGAGCCATGAGGGTGGGGTGGACCTAATAACCCTATAGTGCCAGGAAAACAAGTTTGTTTTCCTGGCACTATAGTGGTCCTTTAAGATGGTTTTCATCTGCAACATGTGTTCTCATTACTAAATGTGATGTTTCTTTGGGGGTAAAAGTGTGATAGAGTGAAAAAAGAAATACATTCTGAAAACAAGAGCCTGAGTAAAAGAGAGAACATGATACAAAGAACTGAGAAAAGGAAAAGGAATAAGCGAAAAGGAAATCAAAGAAAAGTGAAAGTGTGTGAGGAGGGGTCAAATGGAATAGAACAAACATTATGTATCCTTGATGTGGTATTCAGGTTTAAAAACAAAATGTATTTTTTTTCTATCAAGAACTTGAGAAGACCAAGTGCTATGGCAATGTAAAATGCACAGCTTGGACACACAAAAGACTGAATGCAGAGTCTATAACAAATTATATCATATTAAAAGAGTACTCAAACATATTAAACAATTATTTTATTAAGCAGATTAGCAATTTATATCTTTACCATACAAACTGCATTAACAAACAATGAATACTCCTCTAAGTGCACAAAATCCAGGTCGTACTTCCTGATATATACATGATGGCACAGAACTCGAAGGACAAGGAGTCGTATTCTGGAAACACTCAAAAAAGTACAAGGATACTCTTTAGTCTGAATTTTGGTGAAATCGGCCCCTTTCACCATGGGAACTGGACACTTATCAATAGGAAATATTTTACCAGGGGTTCCCAAAAGTCAGACTCTCCATATAACTACATATGCAATTATACAGAGCCAGACATAAGCATAGCAGGAGTTGTACGTCTACTTTTTGGCCATCCCTGCTCGAGTTATGCCTTTTTAGCAATTTGGTCCTTATAGTTAATTCCAATATGGAACAGTGTTTTAGCATCAGCAAGGTTCGACGTAGCTGCAGGTGCTATCTAATTTGTGTATTCTGTGCCAGCCTGCTGTGTTTAATGACCAGGATAAAAGTACAGAATGTTGCATTCTTTCCACGTTTAAAAAGCCACATGCTTCTTGAAAGCACTCACCCTTGGACAAGATACAAACAGTAACTGAAATTATGACTCAATTCTGAAGTTCTCCCGAGATCCTGATAAGTAGAGCATTATCATTTTGGCTTAGTTGCCCTGAGATGTACCTACCTACTTATATAACAAAAAAAAACAAAGTCAACTCTTAGTTTAAAATCCAACCTCTTTAGGGTCTTTAAACCACGATAAGGGTAAAAGTACAGCAATGGGTTTGCTGACAACGTATTAAGAGATAAATGAAAGGCACATTAAAAAAGCAAAGCAAATTTTCATCTTTGTAGCAATCTTTGGATTTAACAAGATAATGAAAAAAAGAGAGGCATCTGTTTACCAAAGACGAGCATTAGTGTTTTGTCAATAGAGCAAACAATCTCATTCGACAAGAAACAAATTAATGGTGAAAAAAAAAAATAAGTTATGCATGTATCATCCACTAGGGGGTAACACTAGATTGTCTATAATCTATTATCCCATTAACCTGGAGTACGTGTATATGCTCAGGAGTACTGAACACAGAGGCCAAAAGGTTATTTCATCACTCATTAATTTCCCAGAAATGGGTATCCTGTATCTGTAAGAGGCAGATAATGCTGAATCTCTTTGCTTTGTTTAGAGACAGCCAGATCTGGTTCACCACAGATATAGAATACGGCGCAGAACGAGACCCAGAAATTAAATATTCATATAGTTTTCAGAATTCATCTGTACAAATCAAATTCTATCACTAACAGTATGTTACAAGCTTACAGGAGTGTTTGCTTAAGTATAACTGCTCACAAATAATTCGGAATGCTATGTTACAGGATACTGTGTAGTTAGGGCTGTAAACATGAAGGATCCACTGACATTTGGTGGCTCCGAAATACACGGACATTTGGTGGCTCAGGCGCACAGGTCCTAGTGTGCCTGAAAATACAAAGGTTCTACTGCATTATGGTCAAATAAATGGACCTGGCCCTCCAATAGGCGAGTCTTAAAGCTACAAGTAGGGCAGCCCCATTTAAATGTTTGCCAGCATTGGCATGGTCTTTTCTGTATAGAACGCTGCTGTGTTCCAGTGTCTTCATATAAAGGTAGTGCATAATATACGCGTTGGCTTCTTAAATTCTCTGCCACGTCATCGCAGGTTTAGGTTTTGTTCTTGTCTTTTCCCTTAAACAAGCCTGAAATGCTGAACCTGGATCTTCTCTTGAGATTGGGCTCTGGACTTTCCTTCTGTTGGGGATCTGCTAAAAAAAGAACATAATAGGACTTACATTTTATTTGGGCAACGTGGAGTAAAAGAGGGATTAATAGAATTTATCGAGTATGCTAATGTTCTAAGACTCTGGCCATCATAAGAAACAGGAATAAAATCAACTTGTGCTGTGTATCGATTTAAGAGCTCCATTATATTATGAAGAAAATATCTAGTTATTTATTTACAGTTTTTTTAGTTTACCCCCTTAAGGACCAAACTTCTGGAATAAAAGGGAATCAAACACAAGGTCCTGCCCAGTGGGAGAGGAGCCACGAGGGTTGGGTGGACCTAATAACCCTTTAGTGCCAGGAAAACAAGTTTGTTTTCCTGGCACTATAGTGGTCCTTTAAGATGGTTTTCTTCTGCAACATGTGTTCTCATTACTAAATGTGATGTTTCTTTGGGGGAAAAAAGTGTGATAGAGTGAAAAAAAGAAATACATTCTGAAAACAAGAGCCTGAGTAAAAGAGAGAACATGATACAAAGAACTGAGAAAAGGAAAAGGAATAAGCGAAAAGGAAATTAAAGAAAAGTGAAAATGAAAAGTAAATAAACTCTTAGTAAAGTTCACTAATAATATTAAATAGTAATAATAATAATGTGCTGGCAGACAGAACTGAAATGTATTTTGTGAGCGATATTACTTACAAGTTGCTGTAACAATGCAGATAATATTAAAGTGCCTTATTTAAAAAGGCACTATTGCTTTTGTTTTAATGTAGTTCTTTGGTTATTGAAGAACATCTGACATTAACAGAGAAACATAGAATGTGACAGCAGATAAGAACCATTCGGCCCATCCAGTCTGCCCAAATTTTTATTATTTTTATCTTTTTCTCAACTTATTTTAAGTAGGTTTATTTTTATACTTACCTTTTAATGTCTTATATTATTGCATATATAATTTATATTTCTGTGTATACATATATTTTATTAACGTTACAGTTGTATCTATGTTTACATTCTGTTCCAATGGCATTCAGCTGTGTTTATCTGTTGGAATATGTTAGTGACCTCTGATGGGTTTCGAACCTGCGTTAATGGCATAGGTTTCCCCCTTCGGAAGACTCTTTATTATTTGGGGTCATGCATTCTTTATATTTTTACTGGGCAGACCCACACTGCTGAGTATCCTGCTGCCTCCAGTATGGATCTCCTTGCTGTCAGGTTCACACATCGGGGGTCTAACGTCTCAATGAGCTGTGGGGCACTGTTTCTTTTATCGGCACACCTTTCTTTAGTGCTCATCACGACAGATCTGATTCCAGGTCCCTATAAAAGGATTCTGTCATTCTGCTGTGTTCCCTGCCCTAGCGTGTAACTTTGATCCGAATCCCGAATTATTGTGGTTTCTCTAGGTTATGGGCTTATATTGCCTATGCCAGAAACTGCTCTGTAAAACTCCGAGCCTGTATATCGTTCAATGCCATTTCCTGACCAGGTGAGCATTCCTTTTACTCTGATATCCTGTGCCTCGATCAGGCACGTTACAGGCTAGATTCCGAACCCTGCGCATTCTGTTGGAGTGCACGTTGCGCTTATGTGTCCCATATTCCTGTCCGACCACCAAAGCTAAAATGCAGTGGACTTTAAACATGGCTATGGCTAAAGCATCCAGGTAAACCCTTAGCAAAATTCAAATGACATTTATCTTTAATATACTATATCATCATTTTATAGAGAATTATCATTATTCATCCATTTTGAACTCTCTCCATTATCCACCTGACCCCCACCTGAATTTGAGTTTTATTTTATATAAGGTCTGAAATTAAACTACCGTAGATCTGTCACCTGAGGGGTTTTCCAATTTACTGAACCTTTTTCAAGTGACTTGTCCTAAAACACATTCAACATTCTGCACATTCAACATTGGTGACTCATTAACAGTGCTGCAATAAAACAATATAAAAACACGTGTTTTCCTGCACATAACGAAAATAATCTACATTGGTGTCAAAGTGCATTTATATAGAAAGTATTACAATTTGCTTGATGTATAAAATGTTTTAAAAGTGTCCAAAGTACTTTTTTAATTATTATTATTATAATTGTTTGTAAATAGGTCATCGTTAAAGGTTTAACCCTACATCATATTCAGTCTGACTATCATCAGAACACAACTTTTTCGGTGATAGAGCAAATAGCAGGTTATTTAAGCTTCTCACTGATATTAAGCATTTCAAGGAGTTTTCAAACTCAAAAAAAAAAAAAAAAAACTTGCTTTGCATTTTAGGAGCAGTAGAGTAAAGTTTTACCTGAATGTTTTTCAATCATTGCTTTCATTACTTCATCTTCCTCTTTTTCTCTGCAGAGAAAAGAACATGTAGCTATATTTAGCAATATTTAATTAAAATCCCTTCCCGAAGAAAAACAAAATTATTTTACCTACTGAACACGTGCAGAGAAATTCACTTAAATGTGAATGTAATTTTAGGTCAAAATAGCAAAACTAAACATTTTTACACATTTTGGAAGTGTTTTACATTATTTTAGCTTTTTTTGTACCGTCTGCCATGAAGGTCCTAGTGGTAAAATATAAGCAATTCAATGTTCCTTTTGACATAACACAACAGTGAAACACAGAGAAACCACTAGGGGGCGTAGCGCACAGCAGCAAGCAGCATTTGGCAAAATTCTATTATTTGATTATCTGTTTATTTATTTTGTATTATATTTAATTGTACATCAGGAATTAATTGTCTACAAGAGCACAGATAAAGCTAACAAGAATAATCAGAAATTTCATTTAGCCATAAAAATATTACAACATATCCCTTTTATTGTAAAGTGCTAAAAACTTTCAATGGTTTTCTCCCTCCTGAGTATGTCCTGCAGGGAATAAAACCTGTGACTCTAAGGTTTGAATGAGTTCTGCAGTGTGTTTTTTAAATCATTAGCCATTTGTCACAAGTTTGACGACTGCAAAATCAATGTTTACTAAAGTTTGAATTTATTCATTTTAACTCATGTTAAAAAAAATTAGGCCCCAAGAGCCCTCCCTCCCCACCCCAAAAAAACCCCCCAGGGGTATGTGTGCAGAACTGGTTCTAAAATCCTAGCTGTTGTAGGACTACAATTCCCATTACTGTTGGCCGGCTATTAGCGGTTTGTTATTCTAGTTGTTGGCTATCAGATTAATATTAGACATTAAGTTCCAAACACCTGGAGGGCCACATTTGGACAGTCCTAGGGCAGAATAAAAAAAAAAAAAAGCAGTAAACAGAGCTATGTCTCACCGGATTCTGTCTTCATCCAAACACTCTATGATCTCACTCCGGTCATTGACTATCAACAGGTACTTTTCAAGCAGTTCCTTTTCTCTCTCAGTTTCCTTTGCAGTCTTCAGACTCTCTGGAGGAAAGAAAAATATACATATATATACATATATTTTTTTTTTAATAAAATGGTGATCGCAATCCATGTTAAATGTTTAAAACATCGCTGTCACTTTAAACTTTTAATTACCTTTATATACAAATTCACATGTACTGCATTACCACACATGGTCACTGAGAAGGGCTGATGGGAAAAGCCATGATCTTGCACACTGCACAAGAGGTGGCGCAGGGATCTTCATTCACAAGAAGATCAGTGGCAAATCCCGTGGTTAGAGGCACCCATCTTATACCAATACAAACGCATGAGGGTGCAAAAAGGATGCGGCTCCTGGCAACATCATCTACCATAATCTGAAAAGAGTTAGGTGTTGCCCCCAAGAAGTAAACTTGGGAAATATATTTCCACTCCCCACCCCAGCGACCCCCATGCAGCAAAAATATTACCTACGACAGGGAAAGTGTTTGCTAAATCTCTGTATAAAGCACTCGTGCATTTACAAATTATAGATCTATTTACTGATTAGCGCACAGGGGAGTTGATTACTGGAATGTTCTCCTTATGGGAACAACTTTAACTAAGCCCATCCTCTTTTTTTTTTACCTTTACATTTTATTACATTTTTTTTTGTACTTTGCACAGCTCTGTAGCATATGTCGGTACTCTACAAAAAAACCTACAACAATTCAACACTTTCTATTCTGATCTCTAGAAATGACTTTTTAGAAAAACTCTGTTTTAGATCTGATGTGGAGTGGTTTTTACTCACACCTACACCTAAGCCCATCCCCCACTTTATATTTCCCTAGAAAGCCCCTTCCCTCCAATTCCTAGGTCAATTTTAACAAGCATTATACATACGAGGTACAGTGCGCACAAGGCTAGATTTTAGGGTCATTGATGTTTAAAAAAAAAAAAAAGTAGTGTCTATATATTTAGATATAATATTTCTATCAACGTGTTTTTTTCTTTTTCTCTCAAATTTTTAGCCTGCTTTCCCAATTTAAAATGATTATCTTATAAAAGAGAAAGATAAACATTGCCAGATTTCTGAAGTTCCATTTTCAGAATTCCTGTAACCGACACGTTTCCAACCAACTGATCACTCTTTGCTTTAGCACATACAGAAAAGGTAGAGCTTCTATTCTATATGCCACACCTAAGCTGGTAATTCCATTCACTGGTGTGGTTGATCTCTCTACTTGGCCCCAGGGCTCCCTTCAGTTTTCTAGACATTTTAACAGAGGGATTGCAAAGCCAGTGAGAAAGACATGTGTTCAGCAATATAAACCACCCTCTCACCAAGATTAAGTTGTGTTTACTGATCGCTGCTGCTCACCTGGCTTGTTCATTAAATTCCTGAGTTCGGTTTCAACGTCAAGTTGCTGGCTCTCCAACACCTGTGTCCTAGAACTGCAGGCACAAGACACAACAACAACACAGAAAAATTAATTTGAGAATAAAAACGTGCGGCCAGGGCTCTTTAAGAACAAGTAGCTCCATAAGATTTTGATAAAGAGTGGATGTTTACACAAGAAAACCAAATGCCAAATATGCACAGACCCAACCCAGCCAGTTCCCAATTCCCGATTAATACAGCAATCACGCATTCATTACTGGTAGATTGTGAAAAATACATGTATCAACATATGTTCATTCCTTACGGCTCAAGATTTTTTCAAAGGAAGATCTCAATTATAAAATCAAAAGAGGAACAGTCTTGTCGGGGGAAATTACACCACTGAATAAACTATTGAAATTCACCTATAAATTTGTGTAACAATTTGTTTACATGATGCCCTGGTTTCTTTAACCCCTTAAGGACACATGACATGTGTGACATGTCATAATTCCCTTTTATTCCAGAAGTTTGGTCCTTAAGGGGTTAAAATGTGATTAAAGATTTAGCAAGTGACATCACAATCCAGATCAGTCCAGGCACAGTCATGGCCTATTATGCAAATGAGGAAGAAATCATTAACACTGTTTCTGTTTCTTCTCTTCCAAAAAACGTTGTTCAACGATGAAAAAAGGGCAATATTTCTAAGGATTTTTGAGAGAGAGCCAAGATGGAAGCATTCCCTTCTAGCATAGAGAGAACTAAAGCAGTGTGAAAATTTAAATGTAATATTCTTTTTTTTTTTCTACAAAACCTTTTAAACTAAATATTTAATAAACATTGGGTATAAGCAATAAGAATATTAAATTTCACTTTTAAAGAATCTAGAATGGAATTGAAAGTCTTGATTTAGCACCACCAAGGCACGGTGTGGCTGGATAGATAGATAGATAGATAGATAGGATAGATATGTATGTATATATAGTAAGCTGTTGTGGGCCAACATGTTAGAACAATTAAAGTCTACAGTGGTGTTACTGTGACCTAGTGTTGCTTCAAAAGCTTTGTCCATGAGATCTCTTTAAGATACGGTTAGGTTCATTGTAAAGAGCTAGAAATGTGTGAACCAACATACACAAGCATTATCATTTATGTACCTACATACACAGACATGAATCTATACATACATGTAGTTTAGCTCAGACTCGCGTCTCAGCAGCAGCTGTTTCTCATGAATAAGCTTGAACCAGTCCACCATGAGTGCGTCCTCCGAGTCATCTGTAAGGGACAGGAAAATTTAAGCAAATGTGGCATAAAGACTTTCAACCATTATTTTTTAATGCAATATACAAAAAAAAAAAAAAAAGAAGTTGAAAGCAGCTGATCTGTGATAGGCCTTCTACAATCCTAAGGTTATGATATGTGTCAACTTGCCACAAAACCATCTGAAAGTAATTTAAATACACCAAACAGCACCACTTCAAATAGAGTGTGTGTGTGGTGTATATTGTACAATTAAGAGTAGTAACATTTTGCTTTTTTTATAAAATCCAATTTGAGCAAAACATTACCACTCATTTGATGGTTCAAGAATTTAAAATGAGAAGAACCCTCTTCTAATTAACCAACATGTGCATTGTTTAAAAGGACTGTTGTGCAGTTTGGATACCGTGTTGGGTTGAACCCCTCTATAAATCACTTGCACATGCAACAAAGTAAAAACATTTCCCCCCTCAACTGAATGGTGCTTACAGCTGGACTGTGTTTGATCCTCACTCACTGGAATGAGAAAATGTTGCACAAGAGTTTAAAGAAAAAGTATTGATGAACATTTTGTCTACTAGTCTAACCAAGTCTTCTTAGCAGTGAGAGATATCGGTGTAGTTACGGTGCATGGTTTTTTTACTTTGTTGTTTTTTTTTTTTTAATAAATAAAAAGTGCATTCATCATTTTAGAAGGAAAAAAACCAAAAGCAAGATGATATTTGTCATAATTCTGTAGAGGAAGCACTTTCGGTGACTGTCATGCTCCTTTAAGATTATAATTTATCAGCCTGGTTCAATTAAATAGACATAGATTTCATGTTGGATTTTAAGTGAATGGTACCAGAAAGCATAAGTCACTAGGCTAAGACTCCATACCCAATCATTGTCAGCCAGAAGCAAGGTGCACTTGAAAACCAGCGGTGTAAGTCACAGCTCTGTGATTGGCTGTAGCCAACAGAACAAAAACGCACACCAAGCATGTTCATAACATATGAATAAAGCTTTAGGATATTGAATTTCCACTACAAATTTGAATCTTCGTGAAGTTCTATATTACAAGATAAATAAAAACGGCTCAGTTCTAGAACGACTCATTTTAATCACCCCATTTCTAATCTATTCCCACCCGCTCTCACCTCCATCACTGCTGCGAAGCTGCTTCTCCAGGTCCACTCCACGCAACTCCAAGTAGTCCAGTTCCTGCTCGATAATCTGGAGCTCCTGTTGGATGTATTCCTCTGGAATGTATTCTGAATTAAGCTGTAATGAGATCAAAATGACCCAATTGATTCCCTTTTATTTAGTCTGTTACTATAATACCCTGTGATCTCATAAAAGATACGATATAAGACAGCTTGCACGATCCAGCATGAAGAACCTTCATTATTATCATGCTCGTAAAATGCAGACAATGACAGCGCGAGATCTCCATTAATCTATGTATCAGGGATTGACAACTCTTTATACAAAGTAACAGCGGATTCATCTATTTATATTGCTGTAGTTGTTGTACTGCCTGGAGTCTTTAACATCAATTGTCAGTTTATGATCAAACAATTCTATATTGGTTTCAGTTAAAGCAAGGGTCTTCTCAGCACAGAGAGAATGTTGGGGACCTTGCCTGTCCTTGCTGATAATGCCAAATTCACCCATTATTAATGACGGTTTCACCCGACTCAACATCACTTGTTTAGAAACCTGAAAATTCACATTTAGGGTCAGGGGTCTATCAAAGATCGTTAGAAATAACCAACTGCCATCATTCTCAGCCAAGCAAAGTGAGTTATACTCACCAGCACCGCAAGTGTTCACATTAAAGGACCACTATAGTGCCAGGAAAACAAACTCGTTTTCCTGGCACTATAGGGTCAGTAGGTCCCACCCTCAGGGTTAAAACCCCTTCAGCCACTTACCTTTTTCCAGCACTGGGCTCCCTCTGTGCTGGGGAACTCTCCTCCATCTGCAGACGTCAGATCCACACACGCATTCAAACCGCCCATAGGAAAGCATTTCTCAATGCTTTCCTATGGACATCCAGCGCCTTCTCACTGATTTTCACATTGAGAATCGCGGAAGCGCCTCTAGCGGCTGTCAGTGAGACAGCCACTAGAGGCCGGATTAACCCTCAGTGAAACATAGCAGTTTCTCTGAAACTGCTAGGTTTTCAGCTGCAGGGTTAAAACTAGAGCGACCTGGCACCCAGACCACTTCATAGAGCTGAAGTGGTCTGGGTGCCTATAGAGGACCTTTAAGCCATGGTTATTAGGGGTACCCAGTTGTACCCCTGTGTTTTAAGGACAAAGAGCTACTACAGAGAGTATTTTTCTAAACGCATGTTGTCATGACAGATGCTGTAGAGATTTGTTCTCCAATGAATGGAGCAAAATTAAAGTATGGCCATAAAGTCACTGAACATGTATGTGCCTTGTTAGCGGCTTTAATTTTAGAGTATTGAAAATATAAAACTTTACAAATGATCTAATGTAACAATTTACTGTTAGAGAGATGTGTTAAACAAATAGAAATTAAACAAACGTCTCAAAAAATATATTTTGGAGTTCTGCATTTGAAAAAATTTGCACTTTTATTTTTTTTAAACTGAAAATCGAAAATATATTCTAATAATATATATCAGTTTGGGAAATGGTTTGTAAGGGCACTGCAAGATATTGGCAGCTTATCAGCTTCCCAGTGCTGATAAGGGTGGAAAATATGACAATTTTAACTTCCATAGTACCCAAGTGGCCTCAATTTAGGTCCCGATAGACCCCAGTTTTTGGAATAAAATGGTCTCTTTGCACAATGAGCTGTAGTGGTCATTGTGCTTTACACGAACTTTAAACCTGGTATTTAGTGTCTTTATAGGAATACAGTAATCACAGGAACGGCTTTGAGTACAAACAAAAACATAATAAACCACAAATCTGTACAAACCTTGTTTTGTGATGTTCCTTTTTTATTATCCATGAAATTTGGGGGCTTATAGTTGGAAGTTTTTACTGAAAATAAAATAAATACAAATTTGTACGAAAAAAAAATATATATATTACAAATATGAAAAAGGCAGGAGGCCAATAAACACAATCTTAATACATATTTAAACATTTTTCCACACACAGCAAAAAAAAAAAACCCCAAACAAAACAAAAACGAAAACGAATGCCCTTATGAACAAATTCTATTTATTTACGTAAGTTAATACATTACAGTTTTAATTATTTATGTCTGATGTGGTTGTTGCCACTCAAACACGTAATTCATTCTGTAATCCAATTAGGATATATTGAGAAACACTGGTAATTACGGTTCTAACTTCGCATTATGCAGCAAACATTATACAGAATATGACCTAACATGTGATGGGATTTCCAGTTTACCTTCCCGCTCACATGACTCAGAAGGGTGAGGTGGAGGAAGTTTTTTTTCGTGTTCTAGAGAAAGGTATTGTGCAACACTGATATCATTGAAAGCATACAGTGACCTGGCCCAGTCACCTGACCGCGGACGAAACGAGCTATAAATAATACAGGTGGATATTTAAAAAACAGAAGCACGGTACTAAATGTTGCCAAAAGTAATGGGAGGAATTTGTTTTCACCCAAGAGGTGTGGGAAACTAATCATCAATTAGCTGTAAGAATAATGAACGGATTAGTATATAGATCAGCCGTAATTCGTATATTTAATATGGAAACCACTGAATGCTTAAAATTTAGTGTGAATTAGAGTGTATAAAATTGTCTATAGCAGGCATGGCTCAATCGATTTTATATTGTTGAATAACTTTTTAAAATTATTTAGTAATTGTTGAATAAACGTAAAATATTTTTTTCAAAACCTTAAAATATCCCCAAAATACTTTACATATAAAAAAAAAAAAAAATGTGCCACACAAAAATAGGGGGAAGGAAATGGAAACAATTATACCCGATTTTTAATGTGTTTGAGAAACATGTGCACTTACTATTACTGTCGCCATTGGTGACCAAAGGTGGTAGTTTGGTATTGTTTGTAGAAGATGTATTGGTGTTGTTGCTCAGATGAGGGCGCCATTTGGGTGGCTCGGTGTCACTGGACGGACCTTCATCCTGCCATTTCAGCTTAGGTTGGGGCCAGTCACTAATCAAATCCACTTTAGCTGGGAGAAGTTTTTTTCTTGAAGGAGTTGAGGTGGACGCTGCTGATTGAGTGGATGAGAGGGTTAAGAAGTAGAGAATAGAACAGTTAAAAAGAATGCAAAATGAATTCACATTTTACAAGTCTTTATAGCTTTACAATGAAACTTGTACATAAAAATGATGAACAGTCATGATATCATGCAGAAAACAAAAATCCAGTCACTATGTAACAAGGATGAGATCATGCAAAACGGTAGACAGGCAGGCGTCAAAGTGCAATGGGCAATCTGACGCAAAATCTTTAGGGCTTATCCTATAAGCTGTGACTTGTGTCGAAATGAAAACAGAATTCACAGACTTAATTGGCCTACAATTTGCAGTTCCTTTTTCCATTTCCCAACTGTCCCTGATTTACTGGAATAACCCAACTTAAAGTTTTCAAGAAGTCAGTAATAAAATCTGAACCAATCAAAATTGAGAGCGGTGTAGCTTTAAGAAGTTGCATATATAAATGTGCACACTGTTTAAGAAAAATACATGCTGTGGTTCATTCCTCTCCAATGTTTTTATGGTTAAACTAGGAAAAGGTTAAATCACATTTGGAATTCTAACTACTTTTATTTTCAATAAAAGGAAAAATAAAATCATAAATAAGCAAATAGACTGAAGGACTCCCAAGACAAGGAGATAGAAGGCAGACAAAAAGATAGACACATAACATGAATGTGAAGTGAAACAGTTGAAAAATTAGATTTTTTTGGGCGGAGCCTGGCTTCCAGGCTGCATGGACGTGCTGAAACAGAGCTCCTGAGCACAATAGCACGATTCGGGGCAAAGACCCCAATAAAAACGCACGCACAGCACCTGGAGAGTGACAGCAGAGTCGGGGACACCCGGGCAAAACGATCGATACCAGTAATTAACCCGCTACTTACCGGGAACCGGCACCAGCACCAAGAGGCCTACTCGAGACCCTGTAGGGGAGAGGCGTCCGCTCTCCTCGCAGGCGACCCTGCACATAGAACCTCCACGATACTCATCTCCTACCCCCCCCCCTCTGGACCGGCGGGGGTTATCCCGGTCCGCACAGTGTGTTCGGAGACACCAGCTACCCGGAGACGTGAACAGAAGATAAAGCAGTGCTGGCGCCCACACGGCTCCCCCAAGATGGCGGCCGTCACCACGCTGCCTGCACTGAATCAGCTACAGCATACGACGATCCAACAAGACACCGCACAGCGCCTGAACACAATATTCAGCCGCTTCTGGGCACAACTCAGAGACCGCATGAGAGCAGCACAAATCATTCAGAAACCTGCACGGATGGCAGGTAAGAGAGGCAGCTGGCGGCGGGGACAGGGAAGTGTACCCTTGGGCACAGCGACAGGTGACCCACGCACCCCCAAACCACAGAGCCCACCCGGGCTGAAGGCCAAAAGGGAGAAGACCCAGACGCATCGCCCACACGCAAGGAGGCTTTATCGCCGCAAGCGGCCAAAGCCCATCAGGCCCTCCATTGCCCCCGTCAGGGGAAGAAACTCAGGCTCCAGTAGTTGCAGAGTTAGTGGCACCGAGATGCAGGCCTATATAACAGCCTGGGGCTGGAAGGATATCTTCACACTGCCCACCGCTGCTGCAGCCTTCAACACCACACCAACCAATGCTCACTGTTTCACAAGGGACGGCATCGGCTAATGGAGACTCTCTACACAAAGTCTCTGGACAGGTCAGCACCAGGCCCATAATCCCTCAGTTTAAGCCTGTTAAACTAGGTGTCCAGGACTGACAACCATGGAGAGCAGAAAACATAAACACACACAACTCCGAACCACAGTGCTCTACAAGCAAACAGTAATGCTTAACGACGTGCAAATGTTATCTTTTCTTTTATGTCTACTGCTATGATCTCTCATCACGCTACCTACACAATTGTTTAGCCCGGCATGTTAGTAGTTAATAGTTTTATGCTTCACATAACCCTGCCGACAAACCATGCCACAATATGCGGCAAAACAAGCCAAGATAAAAACCTGACTTGTAAGCATATAGCAGCTATTTGAGCGACTATTGAAATGATTTAGCTGGTATGTTACCTGCCATAAAGTGCTAGCTGCATTAATACGACTAATTTAGCATTGTTAAGCTCTAATTGTCAATTGTCACTACTATTATTTGTCTCCTCTACTTTAACTTAGATACTATAACTGTTTAGTTATAAAAATATAGAAAAATGTGCATATTCTCAGGCCACTGTCTAACATGTATTGATCTTGTTATACGCTGTTGTGGCGTTCATTGACACCATGTACTCACCTGCACAATAAAAATAAAGAATTTAAAAAAAAAAAAAAAAAATTAGATTTTTTTTTTACAACACTGTACATGTTGGCACACGTATCTCCTAGAAGATAACATTTGCTTTTAAGATAGTCATCACTGGGTATTCGGCATGTATCAACTGGTAAATGAAAACTTTTAGAAAACTTTGACTTTGAAAGCAGGCGTTTGGTGTGGGTTTAAGATTTATTTTTATTTTTTTTACCAGTATACATATTTTGATGTCAAGGTACACACCCATGCAGTAACACAATGCAGGCGCACACGACACTGGGATGGAACATGCGAAATCACACACACACACACAAACAGAAACTATATAACTTTAAACGTCACAAGCGAAACAAAAACTCTCACCACAAGCGCCTCAGAGAGACGGATGTATAGTCCAAAGTGCTTAGGAATTTCCAGTGTCCTCTTTTAGGACCGTGTTTGAGAAGATATTAAGAAAGACACAAATATAATAAATTTACATAAAGGAAAAATCTGCTAAACTTTTTTCTGTACATGTTTGTGTCTTGAGTGTGCATGGAGTGTCCCTTTAACCATCCGACATAAAATATATTGTTTTAAAGAGAAAGAAAAACCCCAAGTAGTATGCAGATAAACCTGCTGTAATACTTGTTCAACAACTTTATTAAAATTAGAAATGCAGGTGCTAGGTGTAGGTATACTTTCAATATTTGGTGGCTGTGTGAACTCTGCTACACGGTTTGGACCTATCACACCAGTGTCCACAGAAGTTCCATTACCCTACCAGATACTTAACTAGACTTGAGTTTATGTAGGGGACTCACCTTTAGTTTCCATAAATCATCCAATAAACATTATTTATTTAATCTATTTACAAGTGGCTTCACAAATCAATGTGTCAATCACTGCCCTGAAAACCAGTTTGTGCCTTAAGGACAGATTATGCAAAGTTCTAGAGTTGAATAACTATAAATTACTAAACGAGCAAACGATTTAGATCAACCTGTTCTGAATAAAAGATACACTTATATCAATCCAAAAAATACATATATAGTTACCTTTCTCTTCCTTTTTGTCTTCTTGATGTGATTCAGCAGGAGAAGTAGGTCGTTGATTAGACTTGTGGTCTTTTCCGGATGCCGGTAGATTTGGAGTGATGGTCACAATAACTGTAGGAGCTAAAAACATACAAAACTTTAATTCCTAACTGGCAATACGAACACATTGCGCATTACTGGATCCTCGTCAATATTTCTCTAACACCAAGGTTCTAAAACAAGTCCCAAAAATCCAGCAACATTCCAGGTTTTATTCATTCAATACTTTTGTTCCTTAAAGTGACACTATGGTAACCAGAACAACTGCAGCTTAATGCAGTTTTTGTGGTGAGTATAATCATTATATGCCAGCATTTTCATGCAAACATTGCCTTTTCAGAGAAAAGGTAGTATTTACATTGCCCCTAGGGACACCTCCAAGTGGCCACTCCTCAGATGGTCACTGGAGGTGCTTCCTGGGGCAGTGTTGCACAGTAGGCAGCACTGCCATTCAGCGTCTCCACGCTCTGCATTGGGACACTGAATTTTCCTCATTCAATGCATCTCTACGAGGAGGTGCTGATTGGTTAAAATTGTGTTTTGCCCCACGCCCTTGCCAATATTACCCAATCCAATGCTTTCCCCAAGGTAAAGCATTGGATTGGCTAAAAATCGGCAATTCTGATGTCACCAATGGGGCGGGGCTAGACCCGGCAGACCCGCGCAGCGCTGGATAGAAGGTGAGTTTCAATTCCTTTTAAGGGGAATAAGGTGGGGGGCAAGCCACCTAAATATGTTTGTGTTCCTGACTCTATAGGGTTCCTTTAAGAACATATACGAGAACCCCTTTTTTAACAGGCTTTTTTTTTTTTTTACATTTATTTTTGTGTACCAATAAACATTGTTACAACTGTGATCTTGAAATGCCCAGTGTGTTCCAGGCTATCTTGGACTGTATTTTAAATATTATTTTCTTAGCAGTACAAAGAAAATCTGTTCAGGAAGTAAAGCTTTAACACAGTCATTTACTAAAGTCTCTTACCGAATTTTTGTTTAAAGTTAGCTATAAACAGCAGCTGGCACCTTTCCTTGTGCACAACCGTTCCATTTTTATCTACAGTAGTAAATGATATTGAAGGGTTTACTGGGATTGCCAGTATAGGGAAATGAAAATATCCCTTCTTTTTGTGTCTAACCAGGAAATAATAGTGCGATCTTTACAGATTTACAAATACAGCCAAACTTGAAAAAATCTCTCAATGAGCTAAGTTGTTCTACAGTCTGAAATTAACTTAGAATTCCAGGCATTTTAATAAATAACTACAAGCATTTGTCCTATAGATTATTACCTTTCTCACCACCTTTGGCCACCTGGCTTGTTGCTGTAGGTGTTGCAATGAGCTGAGAAGGTTTGTTCTCTTTCCCAGGTGAGTTTGTGTTGATGTTCACAGTGACTGTTGAATTGATTGAAACTGGCTTCTTTTGTGATGTTTTGTCTTCAACGCGGAGATGTGATTTTTCCTTTTCAAGTTGTGCCCTGTGGGGGAGGGGAGAAACCTCAGGTTAAGATTCTTTATGTCGCTTTAAAAAAGCATTTCTCACTCCTGAGCATAGAATTTGGAAACACAAAACAAATTGCAAAAAAAAACATACGGCAAAATAGCTGACCTGAAAAATTCTCCAACTCGGCAACCGTCACAAATTGAATATTTTGGCCTAACATGTGCTAGTTTTCAATCTGCTACAATTCCCTATTTAGTGTATAAACTTCTTTAACTGCACACCTAGTGACAGGTGACTTGGATGCACCTTACATAAAAGATTCTATGGTCTGCCAAAATAGCAGATTCGTTTTAATGTCCAGTGACACAGACATCCACAAGGAACCACATCTGATTGGTACTTGCTCCAGACTCCCTGTTTTTAACACCCAACTCTCACACTGGGGATAATATAAATAAAAGCATATGCCTTACCTCATAATTTGGAAAATAAGTAATCATACAAAATACAATTTTTATATCCTGTCTCATGGATACATTTTTGTTTATACACATTCATCGGAGGAAACGTTCGTTCCAAATGCTCTCTATACAGACACTAAACAAGAAACCTTTGGTCATGTATACATAAAGTCTGGTGGGTATCTAAAGAAGAATTCTTATTGAGGACACTTCTAGCGCGATTACCTGATCTACTAAAGCAGTAAAGAACCTATTACTAGAATTTATTAAAAAAATGTATTAATAAATAGAACAGCGCTATCTATAAAAAAAGTAATTTTTTTAAGATTTATTTTTTAACTCAATATGGAGGTCTATACATTAATAAATGTATTTATTTTTTTATTTCCTTCTCCTACTTCTGGAACATTCATCCAAACGTCTTTGGTTGGCTGTATTCGTTCCACTACTGGAAAATGACAAACAGCCGCTTAACACGCAGGGAATATTTCCAGGGGTACCATAGGGGTTACTAATCCAGAGGTCCTGGGACTTTCCCCAGACATGTGTGTAAATACATCTGTCACAACCCATATAAAACTCACTCCATCTGACATGTGGAATTTAAGCACAATGAGGAAAGGGGGGTGAATAATGGAGATCTGGAGTTAATCATACACTAGTTCACACAGACAATCCTATTTATGGAAATTCAAGCAGAAGAACTGACTCGATGCCAAAATGTCAGCCTGGTTAGTAACAGGGACTGAACAAAATTAAATTATAAAATGAACACTTAGAGGACAGTCACAGAAGGAGAAAGAAAACACACATTTTACCCTACCGCCCTACCCTACCAAGTGGACTTCAAGAAGGACAGATATTTTTAAAAAGTATTAAGTTGGAGAGATTTTATTGTAATAAGAAAAATCATTGCCAATCCTTTTCTCCTTTAACTGTCCATATCTTGCAGCTATGTAGTGAATTAAATTTATTTTTTTTAAATAAATCATGCAATCTAATGGTTTCATTTTCAAGTTATTTCACTAAAATATTTTAGGATTTGAAGAATGAGTTAAGGAATGAAATGTGCATGTAAACTTGTTCCGAATTTTTCCAAATCAGCACTTTTTCCTAAATTCTGAAATTTGCTTTTCACTCCGTAGAGTTGGCTGCTTTTTGAATAATCCTTGGAGTGTACCATTAGATTGGTGGCTATGTCAGGTGAGAATCTGGCAAATAGCTTACTCGCCATGTCTCAGATTTGGTGGCCTTTTATTGTTGCGACACTGAATCCATTTCTGTGCCTGAACCATGTTTTATTTACTCCATTCTACCAATAAAAATAGTTAGAATACATTGATTAAGAAAAAAAGAAAAAAATAATAATATCCGGCAGAGGACAATTGTGTACCTACCCTTCAATGGAGGGTCTTGTATTGACTGACTTCAACATAGATCTCCAGTCTTCTGGGCCTTCGGCCTTTGATACTTTGGAGCTGGGCATTTGAGCTATAATGTGAAATCAATCTCATTAAAATAACAAAGAGAATTAAATTAACACTAAGACACACTTCAAAAGCTTTCACATAGAGAGAGGAAGAAAGGCAACTCTCTGATGGCGTCCAAAGGCTTGCGTTAATGGAAAATTCAGCATTGGCTATGCTCATTTTATTTCCCTAGGGTATGCAGTAAGCTTAATCCGGATGATGGCAAATAGAAAAAGGATACTCGCCTTTCGGGGGTGGATCATCTCCCTTCTGGACCTTCACATTGCTGGACGGACCACTAGTGTTAGGAATAGAATTTTTTTCTGGAGTCGGGGTGGCTGTTCCTTTGGTAACGGTGACCGTTGGAGTGCTTTTGGGAGGCTCCGGTTTGGATACAGTTGCAGGCATCTTACTCTTGCGTTCTTTCGGTACTGGTCTCTTGGGTTCCTCTTTCAGACCAGGTGGTTTCGATACACTTTGAGGAGTATCCATATTCCTACAAGGGGGAGAACAGATTTAAGTCAAATTTAGCTCAGCAGATCAAGAAATTGTTGTATAACAACATATAAGAAAGACGAGCAAGGATGTACACATATAGATGAGCATTACATATTAAGAAATCATTACAGGTTTTGCCAAATGTTTTATTGGATGTTGTAAAACTATTTAACCAGCCTTTTATAAACCGTGGTGGTCTTCCAGATAACTGTATATGGCTGTGATCAGATCTAACTTATCCAATGGATTACTTAACCAATTCTGCTTTATGACCTCTTAAATCTCCACGTTTTGTATCCAAACTTGTGACTCAACTGCCCAAGTTATTGCTTTAGTATATAAGCACAAAACATATTCTTGTTCAGGATGTTGAATAAAAGTGCAAAAAAACTAGATTGCAAACTAACATACCTGGGGCTCAACTCCTGTTGTATCTCTATATATTTATGAATTAAACAGTGAAAATGGAATCCTACGAGAAGGTAAAATAGCTTCAATTAAAAAGGGGGAATATGGCAAAGTAACAGACTAAATGCCTTCCTACATTTAGGTTGCTTGTTTTGTGTTTTTTTAAACCAGGAGTTTACATCTATTTAAAAAGAAATGTAATAAAAATTAAAAAAAGAACACAATTAGAAAAGTAAACAAACAAAAAAAAAAATAATTAAAACCTCAGTGAGACCCAGAATAATGTTTATCATTCTTAGCAATACTTTCACTTTGAAATATGCTAGGAAGACCAGGCCCACCTGAAAACAATCACACAATAATGTTTATAAAAGTAGGCTTGAAAGTATACAGCCACAGACCTCAAAGTTCAACAGAAAATATTTATGTTTTACATTACAGCTCCACTGTACACAAAATTTGTGAATGCTTAGGTAAATTTATAAAAAAGAGAAAAAGTCATGTTACGTGTTATAATTGGCTTTGTACACTTATTAACACTTAACTCTATTTAAAATCTTAAATTTTTTAATGATAACATTTCACGTTCCACTTAACTGAAAAAGGGGACACTATAGTCACCAAAACAACTTTAGCTTAATGAAGCAGTTTTAGCGTATAGTTCATGCCCCTGCAGTCTCACTGCTCAATTATATGCCATTTAGGAGTTAAGTCACTTTGTTTATGCAGCCCTATCCACACTTCCACTGGCTGTGAATTACACAGCCTCTCTACACACTTCCTGTAGAGAGAAATCAAATTTTTAAACTTCCTTTATTACACAATGTGTTTAACGTAGAATTTCTTATCTCTGCTCTGTTAACTGCCTGCTGGAGCCTTCGGTGTGTGATTATAGTTCAATGAACAGAGAATGATATAATAACTTATTAAAGTTACCCTTTAAAATACATTTTTGCTCCAATCTGACTGTCAACTCCTCTATGGACACTCTATGCAGAGGAATTGAGAGACAGGTAGAGCAGAACAGGTCCTCACGAGCTCTTCACCCATAGCAACTAATGCACATGCACAATGGTTGGTATGTCAACTACCTAGCAGATATTGCTAGTGCTAGCTACGGAGTATAAGAATGGAGGGACGTGAAGTCACTGGGTTCAGACGCCAACACGTTTGGAGGTGGTACACAAGAGAAATAAAGAGAGACAAACACCATTACTGAAACAAGGAATAGCTAGGTACCTTTGTGGAAAGACTCCACTTTTGGACTCATCTGTTCCACTTGGAGATTTAGGTATAGCTTTGAGGATTAAGTTTCGTGCCTTGTCTTTATCAGTATTTTCCTCAGGTTTTTTTGTTACTGAAGTGATTGCTAGAGACCTCCCTGGTCCATTGGAAACAGCGATTTTCGGAGACTCTTTACCAGCAGGTGGTTGATTATTTTTAGGTTCTACAACTGCAGGAGTTGACTGGAAAAACTTATCACGAGCTTCCTTGATTTTTGCAGTAGACGATGAGGGTTTTGGGGAAGAGAAGTCATCTTTTGGTTGATTTTTCACTACAGGAGAAGGTGACCACTTTCCACTAAAACTGGAGGACACAGTGATGGCATTGGATGGCTTTGTTTGTTGGCCAAATGTCTCTGGCTCTTTTTTAGATTCCTTCTGTGCAGGAGTGTGCTGGTGCAATGAAGAGTTTGTATTGTTTTTTTCTTTGAGGCTTTGTAAATAAGCTTGTGCAGGAATGTTTAGCGGCGCACGATTAGTTACATTATTAGGAGCAGCTTTTGGTGTGTTCTCAGGTCCTGTTGCTTTGACGGCACTTGGCGTCTCTTTGTGAGTCTTATAAAAACCAACCGCTGTCCTATTTGTCATCTCTGGAGTATTTGTGCTTGCAATACTTGGACTCTCTTTGTTGGCTGGCATTTGATAGTCGTGTGTAACTTTATCAGACTGCCCTGTAGATATACCAATATTTGGACTGCTTTTATTGCTCCCTCCAAATCCCATTGCAGTCCTATTAGGTGTCTCGTTTTGAACAGAGTTTGTTATACTTGAAAATTTAGAGGTAGGAGTCTTGTTATTCTGTTCCTTCACTGCAGGACTTGTAAAGCGTGGACCGTTTTGGCCTGTTACAGGTTTGTATGGCCCAGAGGGGCTTGTGTTGGAGGTAACTGGTGAGGTTGTGCTGGGATGATGATTGATACAGATGAATGTCCCAGGGTCATCTCCAATTTTATAACTCCCTGGCTGTAAGGTGCGAGAACACTGCTTGCATCTGAAAGATTAAATTATTTCAGTTTTAATTTTAATTAACAGTCAAAATAAATATTAACACTAAGTACTCAATCTCTAGATATATTAGGACGTTCACTTCTCTGCTATAGTGGAATGAATACCTTCTGGCTTTGCTGGTGTATAGAAAAATTGGCCAAGCAGTTGGTCAAGCAGTTGTGAACAATTAATTGACGATAAATGATAAATATCTGGGTATGTTGCTAGACCCCAATCTATCCTTTGGCCTTCACATTGAAAAAAAAATATCTTCAAAACTTTACCCAAAACTAGGTGCCCCATACAGAAACAAATCCTGCCTAAGCTCTACAGTAAGGAAACAGATAGTGTAACAAATGCTAATGCCGGTCATTGATTATGGGGATGTAGTGTATGCATCCGGACCGCAAACCCACCTTAATAAACTTAAAACAGTAAATAATTCATTCTGCCGCTTTGCACTAGAATATAATTACTTTACCCACCAAAAGAGCTTATACGTTGCTGAAATCCCAACGCACTCTTCATTTTTCCAGCCTTGTGCATAAGAGCATCTCTGGGAAGCTCCCACCCTACCCCCAGCTGTTCCCACCTCCTATAACCTCCGATCCAGTACTAGCATGATATTTAGCATACCGCAATACAAAAATAAAGTGGCTCGTTCCTCCATTTCCTACAGAGCACCGCAATTATGGAATAATCTCAGGGACACAGTCAAATCTTCATTCAATCTAAAATATTTTAAGAGATCTATGGCAATATACCTCAACACAGAATGCACCTGTCATTGTTGAATATATTTATTACCTGTTATGTATTAAGAGTGTGTGTGTGTGTGTGTGTGTGTGTGTGTGTGTGGTTTGTATATTGTATTTTTGTAATATTGTATCCTATTGCAACAATGCAATGTTTTGGGGACCTGGGACATACTTAAAAACAAGAGAAATCTCAATGTATCCATCCTGGTAAAATATTTTATAAATAAATATATGTGCAAAAGAACCAGCATTCTGAGTGGTTTCTCTATTAGAATCTTGCTAGATCCCCATAATTCTATACATTCATCCACCCTTGTCCTAGATCATGAAGTATAAACATTATGGATATGTTGAAAATCTATTATCTGGAAAAGTTCACAGTTTAACATAAATACATCCACATCAAACCAGGAAAAATACTAATGAAATACTCACTTAAAGCAGTTCCTGTGATAAAGTTTTCCATCCGCCATGTGTCTCTGGACCAAATGGACGTGGTTTCCACAGATTGTGCAGTTGCTGCTGATCATACCATTGCTGTTGATTTCCTTTATACCCTATATAATAAAGAATGGCATTAGAAGGTGTGGCCAGGCAGAACCCAAATGCATTTACATCAAAACTTTTACTGCGGCAGCAAAGAATTATGGGAACGTGTATGCAAATCGGTACATCAAAAGCTCCGCCTATCTTAAAATGATTGTATCAAGTTTCAAACTTACAGGAAGAGAAAGTTAAAATGGATGCTATACTCAGAATAAAATATTGGCGGAAGGCAGGAACGCTTACGCAATTAAAATCTGCCTTTTCAATCTTATTTCAATACTTGTAAACAAGAGTTTGATAAAGCTTTATGTGCTGTCATGGCAACAAATATTTTTTTTTTTCCCCCCTTTCCAAGCTCCTTTAGATCAACACTAAAAACTGGAGTGAACCTGGCCAGGTGAAAACATCATTTGGGCAAAATGTGCCAAAAAAGAAATAATTGTATCTTGGCAGGGTTTGACAGCCGTGATTGGCTGAGAGCACAGGGCTAACCTTGTCAAACCTTAAATAGTTTGGCATTAAACCGGTGGAGGGCCACAGGACACTCTTGGCAACATAAGCAGATATAATTAAGGATATAATTAATGTGTGTTAACAGGTTGTTGATCGAAGGAGAAATCATCTTGCCATTATGGAGTCAAGAAGGAATTTATTTTCCCTTTTTGTGGCAAAGTAGGCAATCCCTTCAAAAATGTTTTGTTTTGTTGCCTTCTTTTAGATCGAGAGCATAAAAAAGATGTGTTTTAAAAAGGTTGAACTTCATGGACTCGAGTACTTTTCCAACCGAGATGACCATGTAAGCACTACAGCCCCTTGGATTGGACTTACCGCTCTCACAGGTGGGTTTTCCACGACGGAGTTCTTATTGAGTATCGAGGGGTTTGTCCTCGGGGCTGGCTGCGGTTGCAAAGCTGGAGTGTGACTGGTAACTTTCTTGCCAGCATGCTCCTCAATAGTATCTGGGGGAGGACGCTTAACAGCCCCCAAACCACCAACTGGAAAAGATAAGAGGTGCAAAATATGTTAAAGCTCAGACACAGCAATATCACTAGTATTTAATAGAGTATTTAATAGATAGAACAGTTTCAGTGTAGCAATTAAACACAAGGAGCTCCACATTCAACATTATCAACACAAACAGGATTTTAAATTTAATAGGTGGCGAAAACGACAGATTTTCCCAAAAATGTCTATTGCGCAATGTTCACCTTCTCGTTAATCCAGCCCTGAAAGTGATTTGCCAGGGAATCTCCAGTTCTCCTATATAACAAACCCGGCTTAATGTTTACAACACTGGAGCTGACCTCGAATACACTGTCACTGTGATTATTATTCCATTCCTCTTCAGTGAGCCATTAACGAGGATAATTAAAGCACCCATGATTATTACACAATTATTCACTTTCATCATTTGTCAGTTTGATCGGCTGTGTATTGTTTTGTGCCCTCGCTCTTGATAAATATGAAACAAGGTATTATTTGTAAACATTTTTCTCCACGAGCTTCCACAATGAGAACAAACTTGTGCCAGTTTCCAGCGTGGCAAGTTTACAATGGAATCCCAGCCAAATTCTCTACAAACACCACTGATATTTATTGAGGAAATATTTGATTTCCGAGAAATGCACACCTTGATCCAAGCAAATTAGAGGAATACGAAACAACAACAAGACAGACTAGTTAAGCTTCCACAGAACATAGCCACAAGAACTTCAAGGCCTATTTCAGACCCCATTTCCTTATTTACACAGGTCTGTAAGCAGTGATAGGATAAGGAAATAGGCCTAGCTCTAGTTTTATAAAAACACACCTAATGGTGAAATTGACACTTGTTTGTTTACATCTAACCAAAGCTAGCAGGGTTTCCAAAATGAGGTCTACAGCGAGCTATAAGCCACCACACGAGTTTATTATTTTAAGTTACCGAACTTGTACCGAGTTAAAACTAAAACAGGGCTTGAATTCAGGTTTTTTTTTTCCAATGACTACGAATTGGTGGATATGCTACTTAACGCCGTAACTAAAAGCAGATGTCTTAGTGTGGAGACCTACATGAAATGAGGAAATGAAAAGTTCATGGATACGATTACAGGGTTTATCAGGTAGACTATATCGACGGTTCTCCACCATTCTCTTTTCAGCCAAAGAGCTTCACTCACACATGTCCAAAACATCAGCTTTCGGAAATGATAGGTTGCAAACACTGATTTTTGTTAGAGCAGAAGTTTAAACCCTTGCTTGCTGTTGTGGTTTTGGTGTATGGAGAGTTTTTTTTAAAGATACAGTTGGTTCTATGTATACACAATGCTAGTGTTGAATATCTTGCTAATTTTGCACCAGTAGAATTATTGGGCACCGCAGTCAATAACAGACACTTTGTAACAGCCATTGTTCCTCAACGGGTTAAAAACACCCATCTGTGTTGGCATTCTGTTGAGTTGATTGAAAGAACTATTCGCTCCATCAAACAGTGGCGTAAGCCGGGAAACATTCATTTCCAGTAAGACAGATATAGAGGATTCTGGGAAATAAACGGTGTGTGCGACTGTTCTGTACACAAAACAATGTGTCATTCCTCTGCCTACAATCCCCTACTGTGGGACGCTAGGGGCTGGGAGACACGGTTGAATTCCTCTGTAGCATTTAGCAGAAAATACATGCAGGAAGCCAAGAACGCAATAAATAAATAACATGCTTTTACTGCCTTTGAAAGCCATATGTTATGTTACAGGGGGCAAGTGCTGTCTCAGTCTGCGGCTTTGGGTAAGTGAATAGTAATTTTGTCTTTGTTATGAAATTTAACACTTTACCAACAGAGGTCGAATATCCATTGATAAGAATCATTTTGCAGAACCATTTATTTTTATTATTTATATAGCGCCAGCAAGTTCCGTATCGCTGTACAATGGGGTTCATCTCACTTTTAGATCCTGTACGAATGATCCAAGATATCGGATTGCAAACGTTAAAATTAATGGAAACCAAACTCCTAGGCTTTTTAAATTGTTTTATGTTAAAGGTGAAATTAAACTGGAGAGTTATTTTCCGCTCCGCAAAGTGGTAACTGGTTCATAGAGATAATGCTTAGCATTAAATTAAAAACTAAACAAGCAATTCCTCACCGGCTGAATGTAAATTTTTGATTATGCCTCATACCAAACCCTGTATCGTACTGCGCTACAATATAAGTTAGCTGTCAAATAAAGCGAGATTATTTAACGGTAACATTTGAGTTTTCGGTAGAACATGGTCCACTAGTCTAACTGCAACAAGATTTTTAAAACTATAAATGTTTCAGAGCTACAAACTGCTAGAAGAGAAATCTTCTAAGCTGTAATCTTTTTGTTCTGTGTTTACAATTGCATTATAGCATGTTTAACATGCCTGAGGAAGGGTTTCATAAATAGGTTTGAGACTAAAATCTAGATATGTCTATAGTCCAAGTTATGTGGCTACAGGCACATCAGATGCAAGTTTAACATCCCCCACACACTCAACATGCCAAACAGCAAAAGACGCATATCTTGGTCTAAGAGTAGTGATTAGGGGGTGGGCGTAATTGGGAATTTGTGGGTCATTTTGTGACCGAGAAATAGCTATTAGTGTAACAGTAAGTCATTGAAAACAAGACCAAAATATTTTGTCTACAGAGACTTGTTTTTAAACACATCTATTTTAGTTAAAGATGTTTCGGTGTGTGGTCTGATGCAGCAATGATCCTACTTTCACTTTAAAAAAATATATATATGTTGACTTTATGTTGAATATTAACATAACTTTTGTTTGTGTACAAAAGCAAAGAATTTTCAAAGCACAAAAATTTGAATCGATCATGCAGTTAGAGATATAGTGATATAGACTATTTTATGAGCCGGGGAGTAAATAAGGGTACCCCCTTCTACTGCTAACCCTTAATCTATTTGCTTAGAAACCTTACATTTTGTTTAAAATCTTGGTTAGCAATTGATTTTTTTGTTGTTGTAATTTTTGTTTTGTAATGTAGCAAATCAAAAGCAGGACAAGAGGCCAGAATGGGAGGTCATTTGTCAGGAGATGGGACATTCCGTTCACCACTGTGGTTTCGGAGAAAGCTTTTCGCTGTGGCTAATTAGTACAATTGAAAACATTTTAAACACAGCTCCAGGGTAACGGGAAAGTTTCTGAATCCACTTGAAAGGGGATTTCACACAGAAGGGGGATGAGGGTCTCTAAAGAACAATCGAGGCAGCAAGCAAATTATACACTGATCAACATTAAATAAAACCAAACAAAAAATTAGTAAAAGATAAATAAAAAAAATTCAAAAATGTGATAAACCAGCACATGTCAAATTGTATACACTATGCCAGCTCCATAAAAACCAATATAATAATTTTATTAATAAAAATATAAATCTATTATGTGTCTATTTGTCCACTCATTGTACAGCGCTATGGAATTTGTTGGTGCTTTATAAATAATAATAATCTATTACAATGCATATTTTCACACTTGCCCAAATTCAATCCTATTCTGGCTGCATGATAATATTTTAGCAATGTACTTATTTTACAATATTTACATAGTATCATTCATCAGTGGGCTTTTAAAACATTGGGTGATTTTCTTAGCTGTGGGTTTCCATGTCATTATTTGAGTGCTTGAAAGAGGATTTTGCGTTAAAAACGGTTTTTCTATTTACATCAAAAGCCACGAAATGTTAATGGTTATATCGAGGGTAATACTGTAACCTGTTCCTTTAAAAGAGTTGGATATACGGTAATCTCCTGCAGGGTGCAAGGAAGCTCTGAATGCCCTTCACACAGTATCCCATTGTCTGTTCTGAGATGAATGTAACCCCTGAGACAATGGGAATATCTAATCCAAACAAGAGATGAGTGGGTTGAACAGAGCGAGCATACTTACTGGGAGATCTGCCATGGAAGTAATTGTAGTATTGTGATACATAGGTCAGGATACTCAGCCTATCTGGGACACGAAGACTGACCATGTCCTCTGCATCGAGCAGAGCAGGAATGCCAAGTTTCTCTTCGGCAACATGGAATGCCTGTAGCAATGACAAAGGGATCAGGTGAATGAGGGCACACAAAAAAGTCCAGTTAGCGCACACAATAGGTTGGTTTAAAAAAAAAAAAAAATTTTTTAAAAAGCTATATTTTTTAAAATGCAGTAATCTGTTTGAGAATTTTTGTTCAATTCAAATACATACTTACTTTGAGAAGCAGAGTAAAATTACTAAGCCAAGTCAGAAATAAAAGCATACATTCTTTTAATATTTTTTTTAAAATGGGCCTTTTTTTTTTTATATCACACTACACTGGCTAAATAGGATTGACCTAGCAAACCAAACATGTGTAAGTCTATTGTTTGCAGGTCACAATGTATTATATACAGCACTGACAGCTAACTTTGGTGCATTAAATAATTGATACATATATTCGTGATGTTCAGACAGTCTACCAGTAGGCTAAAAGTGATGGGAAAAGTAATGAGAAAAAAAAAAATAATAATATATGGTGGGACCCGGGTTAGAGGTTTACTAAATACGTGAGACCGGAAGGGGTGAACTGAATACAGTTTTTTGAGTTAGCCTACAACAAACACTGTTCACTGAAAAGCAGTCTGCTAAATAGAAGTCCTTCCAGAATTGTTTTTTTAAACGTAGGTTAGCAAGAAAATGAAACCGAAAGTATGAGACTTAATGGATTTATTGCTCAATGTGTTTATCCCATAACATGAAATGCGCAGGAGACCTGCGGAACCTGTTCTATAACCCCCGAAACTAATAAGTGTAGAAAGAACAAGTAGGGGTGACCCGATGATATCTCTATAAAAGGAGCAAATCCCATCTGAAAAAAAAAGTCCACTCAGGCCATCCTATGTGCAAAGTGCTTTTGAAGCACTTTTGAATAGACTGAATATCCCGAGTTGAGTCTACATAGCCTGAGCCAGTCTGATGAGACACACGCACAGGGCCTGTCTGAGGACTTGTCTATCGTTTTCTCTTAAGTTCAACACCGGAGAACAAACAGGGGATAAAAGCCCCAAATCAAAACAATCTAGCTGAATCAGAGACTGTTGAGAGGCATGCTCTACTACAATAAAAAAAAATTTTTTTAAGTGTACACAACATAAAGGATGTACACTAGACTAACAAGAAATGCATTTATTAGATAAGGCACTTTGAGAGTTCAATTTAGGGTTAGTACTTTTTTTGGTTTTAACTTTTTTAAGGGAGCGTTTCAAAATGACGTGGAGGGGGAAAAGTTGGAAATTTTAGGTTCATATATATTCATAAAAATAAATTAAAAACAGTAAACTATTTCAAAGGTTACGCAAAAAAAAAAAAAAAAACAACTCTCTTGGTTTAAGTACAAATTGATGTGCTGGTCCCTCACACTTCTCCACAAAAAGAAAAAAAAGAAATAGATAAAAGAAAGAAAGCTAAACATTCTCCCTGCAGCCCACACCTCCTGTGCCGACATCACACTGTTTGCTGAATGGAGACGGACTTCTAGGAGGGCCACCACAAGGACTAACAGGGACCCAAGATGGAGGCTCTCATTTCCAGTATAAAAGTGTAAATTTCTATATTTACTTTTATATTTTAGACTTTACAAACCACATGTGTTAAAATATAAGGGATACGTAAAGTCAATATTAAAATGCTGGAAATTGATTGTTTCCCCTTTAAGTACAGTCTCCTTTATAAAAATAGATAATATATGTAATAAATGTAGCTACATAATAAACAAGACCATAATATGTAAGTAATAACATTTTAAATGGAAACTATAAAATGCAGGTACACACTTACCAAGTGGTTATTTTCATAAACGTTTTCCTTGCTGAGAGAATTAAAATTTCTGTAAAATAAGAAAAAAAAAAATATTGGCATTTGTGAGAACTTGGAAAATCACCAGAATATTATGTATAATAAAAGAATTATAGCAAAAACAAGACAACCTCGAGATAAAAGAAAACGGTTTGTGAGTATATAATATCCTTGTAAAATAACCATGTGTTGACAGTTCTGCCAATTTATGTCAATAAAACTAGACTATAATTTAAGAAAAAAAAAAAAAAAGAATCTTTACTACTGAAAAATATACAAAGCGACATGCACAAATATTTGGAAAAGGTTAGTGTCTTCTAAAAAAACGGTTCTGGGCTCCATTTTACCTGCTTGAAGGGTCACTTCAAGCACCATGATCCCTGCAGTGTTTTGATGTGGTCATGGTGCTTTGAGTTTGTATGTGAAGCGTTTAAAACATTGCACATACAGAGATATAGCTGCACATTGCTCAGGAGGTTTGACTCTACCTCCAACAGCCTCATTAGCCTGCCCAGAATGACAGTTCCAGACTGGCTAATGTTAAATCTGTGCATATAAGGTAACTGGCAACAAACAACCAATAGCACCGTGACGTCCACTTCCTCTCCTCAGCCTGTCCCTCCTCCTCCAGAGATAGGTAGCAACATCACTAGAGGAGGATTGGTGTACAGGAACAACTTGGCCTCAGAGTAAGACTCTACCTTAAATACACATGCCCATGTGTGCTAGCAAAGCTTACTCCATCCATATACACCATTGCCCTATAAATTGTATTACTGTCGGTGACTACAAGACCATATATTAGCACCCCTTAGTAACCTATTTTTAACACAATGAAGGCACCACAATCTTGTCCCTATACATTCTCGCTAAAGTGGAATGTTCCACTTATTATGCGTTGGTTAGTCTATACAGCCAGCAATAATTAAATGTGTGGGTCATTACATTTTTGGAATAGGATGTTTGAAAACGGATAGCAATAACCTCATGGACCAACATTTGTCCAGACAAGGTTAAGGCACACTTGCTGAAATAAGAAATCCTGTAAAATCCATATATTTGCAAGTCAGGTTTCACATCATGTTTCTGTGGAAGAAGGTCGATTGTCCTGTGGTAGAAGGTCCATTGTCCTGTGGTGGAGGGTCGATTGTCCATTAGTGGAATGGTCACTTAGCGCAGACACTTGATGCATAGCTGAGCTCACTCCCAGGACAGTATGTCCCTTCCCAATCCAGTTTCACCCACCCACCAGTATTGATCCCTCCAATTCCTGATTGTACTTGGCTTCATCCATTCACTCAACTGCAGCCCATGTCTACAGCATCCAGGAAGTTAAAGTGTTTGTAGAGAATTTGGCTGGGATTCCATCGTAAAGTTAAAGTTGTTAAACAAGCATAAAATGTTTCAAGAATAGAAACCACACAATACAATACTAGCTGTTATATTCAAACACAATTATTAGGGCCTACTGTGGGGCTAGAAGGAGTGAAATAAGGAAATTGAATAGGTAATTACAGAACATACATATGACGTAGAGAGTCAGAGAACCCCATTATGCACCAGCTGTTAAAGGGAATGTGACTTCCTAGGATTTTCAATATTATGTTTACTCATCCCTATAGTTACATTAATATTTCTGAAGTTTAAAAAAAAAAAAAATACAATTAAATAAAATGAAAGAAATCCACATCTCTGGATGCAAATGGGCGCCTCCATCTTAGCTCCCGATCAGACGGTGCTACAATGTCTTTTGCACCTAATAGTGTGAGAATGCATAAAAGAGAAGAGGAGAAATTAAACCATGTTTCTATTTCACCTCTGCATTTGTAGTGTTTGTCTTGTCGTGTCCTTCTCTTAATTGGAATATCGACATTTGCCAACTTTTTAATACAAATTTAAAAGAAAACAAAACATCAAAACATCTCAAGAAGAAAAAAATAATAATAAAAAGGCCTCCAGACCACTTCCTCTCAATGATCGGCAATGTTTTCATTGCAGGGTTAACCAACTCTAGTGGCCATCACACTGACAGCCATTAAAGCCTCTTCTGTGAAATAGTGGAGTAAAACGATTTCAATCAGATGGTCTTGCTGCAGGGGCCGGTCACGTGTTATCGTCACAAGATTGTAGTGTTCCTTTAATAGTGCTAATTCCAGAGAAGTGACAGATTCCTTTGAAATGATTCCAGATAGCACAAATGACTTCAATAAAAATCTGAACATTGCCTGACATACTTTATTACGATCATGCCAATATAGTCTGCCAGACTCTCTTTTACTAAATGGAACATGGAAAGAAAGGGGATTGCCACAGCAATGACAGAAATTTGCTAAACGTTATTATGAAGGCAATTAGGAGGAGGTGAGGAGTACATGTTTGTGTTAAACAAGCTAGTTAGACTCAGTCACACCTCCCCAGAAATGATAAAATAAAGCATTATCTTTACCTCGTGTCTCACCGCGTTCCCACTCCTGTTTCCGAGATGATCAAGACTGCCAATCCAATATAGAAGCATTGGAGGGCCTAGTTGACATGCACGGCAACCGCCACTCTGCACAAATCAGCATCTCCTCACAGACATGGATTGACTCAAAGCATCTATGATTACACTGACCACCTCAATGCAGAGCGTAGAGACGGTGAATGTCAGTCCTGTAAACATTCCGGGACTGCATCCAAGAAGCGCCTCTAGTGGCTGAGTGACAGCCTAGAGCAGGGATAACCAAAAAGGTAGACCCCCAGATGTTGTAGAACTATAACTACCATGATGCTTTGCATGCCTTTAGAATGACAAAGCATCATGGAAGCTGCCGTTTTAAAACATCTGGGGGATCTACCTGTTGGGCACCCCTGGCCTAGAGGTAGCATTAGCAGAAAAGGCAGTGTAAAATGATGCCTAAGTCTGCAGGGACAGGCTCTCTGCCCCAGAACCAATACGATAAGCTGTAGTGGTTCTGGTGCCAGCAGTTAAAATCCTATTGACAAAAAAAAAAAATGTAAAAAATAAATAATACAACATGTTAGTTTTCTTATTTACCGTTTATCATACTTTATCCTCCATAACATTCCCAGTTAATCTCTGGCTATTTATGACCAAGGGCTGATTTAGAGTTATTCCCTAGAACTTTATTTAGCGATTTGAAGCCTATCCTGTCTTGTAGTCATTTTCTACTTTAGCAAATAAATAAATACTTATTTAATAATCACTTGTTTCTAATTGGCTGAAGTCAATCCAGGTGAAGCGACATTTCTATACATGAATAGTTGTTTTCCTAAATCTGTTCAATCACCCGGAGGTTTTTGAAGCCAGACATCCAGCTGAGAATAAAGTCACATCCTGAATTAAATTTGCATGGCTTAATTCTTATTATCTTCACCGCCAATTCAGGTGCTTCCTGTAAAACAATCCACATTCATGGTGTAGCAGTGACAGGGCAAGTCGAGTGTCACTTAGTACAAACCCAGACTGATAAAGATCGCTAGGCTAATTAGACAGGACATGCAAACAATGTACCATGGTAAAAGCACTTAGTGTTGTGAACACTGGGGGGGCAGGGACGTGGGGGGAGAATGGAAACTTGATCAAAAATCATATAAGTGACATAATTGGAGCAATTAGCAAAAACTTGTCACATGTTCCAAAACAATAACTCCAAACACTTTGACCCTGTTTTGCCTTTATAGATGAATGAGGAAGAAAAAAAAAAAAAAGAGAGATACAGTTTTAGTCAAAGTTAAATAAAGATTTGCCAAAATGAAGACATTATTGCACATATATACAGTTTTTTGTTCTAGTGCAATTTTTCTGAACCCAATCTAGATAAGAGACCTCATTACTGTTCGGACTATAGCTTCTCGCTGGTCTTAGCAGTGAGTAACGGCCCTGATTGGACCACCTTGTAAGCTACAGATCTATACATAGCTATCTAATCTTTGGACACCCCTCTAGTTTATAGAAATCTTAATTGGTAAGGGTTCTTTTAATGCACAGAAATCAACTCTCAGCATTTTATTTTAAATGCTCAGACGTAGTTTGGACCAGTCACTGCCACATCACTGCTGGCAGAAAACACAAACCGCGTGTCGAAGTCATTAACCTCCTCCCCACCCCCCACCAACACACATACGCTGTACACGCTGGCGTTCTGACCACTTTCTGCATGGGACTAATGTAATCTGCCGAGGAATGAGAGAGAGAACTCTGCACATCTGCAAATAATTCTTGAGAAATCCAGTGAAGAACGTTGTGTAGGGGAAATACAAGATTCCCCAAGAAAGCATAAAAAACGGTTTACTATTTATGGTGCCAACATCACATCTTCAATAGATATATCAGCTACCAACTGCAACTGCCAACCACTTGGCAGTCCTTTGCTCACTTAGTGTTTTGCTTGGGTGAAACCGTATTCTTTTATTATTACAGATTGGTTATACCATAGTACAGCATGTCCTCTTTTCGGTACTATAGTTCCATCAACAGATGGCAAAGAGCTAGACGTGTAGAGGTCACCATGGAAACCAATGGAATCGGCTTGAATGTACCACAATTCCATGGAGATTGCTCAACTTTACTATTTGTGACGTTTTTACAGATCTCCTTCAATATGTTAAATATATATATTAAATTCTTATTTTATTTATTAAAAAAATTTGCTGATTTTCCTAGCGACCTGGAAGTGACTGACAATCCGCATCGAATCCTGGTCACAATATTCTGTGAGAGAACTAAACATATCTCGTCAACCAAAGGTTTAAAAGATCCGAGTTCCAAAGTCTGCAGTAGTTTCATTCATGAAAAACACACACAAAAAAAACCACTGCAAGTCAAGTCAGAGACCAGTGCTTGAGTAAAAGGAGCTGGACCAGACCAGATTTTATTGTATAGTTTAAAAACAAACTGAATTCTTTACTAAAAATTAGCCACATGTTACCCTGGAATTTTTCTTATAAGTTCCAAATTGTTTACAAGTTCTAATAAAACAAAATAGATGCTTTGTCATATGTGTAAACGTTAAAAAAAAAAAAGCTATATTTATACAAAACCAGTAGAATTTCTGGTAAACCATGCCACCGAGATCAGTCACGGACTGCTAACATAACAGGCGTGTTTTTATACAACTGATGCAGTGACCAACGTTTGAGAATGTATGAGAAAATCTATGAAAAACAGCTGATGTCAGCCACTTCACAAGATATTCCATTAATCACCGGTCTGTATTCCATTTTATTAATGTAACAAGCTACAGTTCTATTTTGTATAATGGTTATACAGACAGTGACAAGGCAAGCTGTTTGGAGTCGCAAGGGAAAGATGGTAGTTTTGACGGTACGAGTTCTGAGGCTACGACAGTATTTAAACAACTTGTTTTATTAACAGTTTTAATTTCTGGTGAGACAAGTTCTTTTTATTATACAATGCAAAAATATAGAACAGTGCTTTAAATGTGTTCCTGTGGATCAGGTGACATAAACTTTGTCTGTCTGTCTGTCTGGGAATGTCCACAGAGCCTACAATATTAATACTTGGTTGACCACATGGAGGTCCAAAACTTTTATAGAACTACAAGTCTCATGTTTTGCAAAGCATCATGGGATGTGTAGCTTTATAGGGAATCTACCTAATGATCATAGATAGTTTGTTGTAAAGCAAACTTGGTTTCAAATACACACACAGGAAATTAATTCATATTATTATTTATAAAGTGCCAACATATTCCGCAGATCTGTAATTTATGAAAGTTACGTTTACACTTTCAGTGGTATTTTATTTTTGTCCTATGTTGGGAGGAAACATGACATATATAAACATATGGATGTTTTGGTGACTTTTACTGAAGCGTATTTATCAACATTTTTTTTTCTTGTTTACGTCTGAAAACCGAAGTTGCGTTATCTTTAAGGGCACACACAGCTGTGTGTTATCAGCAGCAACTTCAACAAGTCTGTTTTACTGACTATTTCTCTGACACAGGACAGGAAAAAAAAAAAAAAAAGAAAGAAAGAAATATATGGTGGGAGGAAAAGCCTGTTGACTTGTGGCCCTTTCAGCCCCAAAATAGAACTCATTAGGAATCCTTGATCGTTCTTCCTGTAGCTTCCTGGAAAACACGACCTCCTAGCGAACATGAAAAAAAAAATGTCCACAAAGTTCTCTAGTTCTTTGTAGTTTCATTTTACAAGCGGCAAAAGAATAATGATTTGAATCAAGCATGTATTGGGGTTATGGTAATATTACCCAACTCAATGGCAACCATTCGATTGACCTTGTCAGGATTATACGCACAGTAGACCATCAGTATACTAAATTAAAGGAGAAACACTGTATAGCAGGTATGGTTTCATGCGTCATTGTTTTCTTAGACTGGTATGGACAAAAAGAGATGGTTCAGAAATAGCAGATTTAAATATTGGTAACTATTTAGCATAAAGGTTGGCATGGGGTTTTCTGTTGCCTGATCAATAACTTGTATCTCTGGGGGTTTACTCCAGGTCGTACACAGAAGTCAACGGAAGCCTTGCCATGTGTCTAACAACTTGGCCACCACACTGGAACCATGGATAAAGTTTCAATGCCACATCCGTACACACATTATTCAGGCATCTAGCAATGTTGTCTTGTTAACTGCCTCCGCATCCTCTTGATAATGCAACCTTTTTCTTTATCATAAACTCAAGTCAACCACATAAAGTCCTATGGCATGCTCCACAAGGTTCTAGTGTCCCTGTCGAAAGCCCAGACTGTCTGAAGGTTTTCCAGTTTGACGTCTTATCTAATGTTCTCGGTTTCTGCCCATGCTAACTTAACGATTTACTGGATACAAGACACTGGCTAGTTCAACCGATTATGAAATCTTCACTCCGTGCCCTGACCTACCTATCGGATCTGACCATGTTCCCATCTCTTTTGGATCCTCCTGACTCTGGAGAGTCAGACCTCTCTCTTTCCAGAGAGGATTCCAGATCTATAAAAAAATTTTTCCATGTTTGCCCTATGGTATCAACTTCACAGCAAAATATCTGACTATTGTAAATATACTGCTCAAAAAAATAAAGGGAACACAAAAATAACATCTTAGATCTGAATGAATTAAATATTCTTCTGAAATACTTTGTTCTTTACATGGTTGAATGTGCGGACAACAAAATCACACAAAAATTAAAAAATGGAAATCAAATTTTTCAACCCATGGAGGTCTGGATTTGGAGTCACACTCAAAATTAAAGTGGAAAAACACACTACCGGCTGATCCAACTTTGATGTAATGTCCTTAAAACAAGTCAAAATGAGGCTCAGTAGTGTCCACATGCCTGTATGACCTCCCTACAATGCCTGTGCATGCTCCTGATGAGGTGTCGGATGGTCTCCTGAGGGATCTCCTCCCAGACCTGGACTAAAGCATCTGCCAACTCCTGGACAGTCTGTGGTGCAACGTGACGTTGGTGGATGGAGCGAGACATGATGCCCCAGATGTGCTCAATTGGATGCAGGTCTGGGGAACGGGCGGGCCAGTCCATAGCATCAATGCCTTCATCTTGCAGGAACTGCTGACACACTCCAGCCACAGGAGGTCTTGCATTAGGAGGAACCCAGGGCCAACCGTACCAGCATATGGTCTCACAAGGGGTCTGAGGATCTCATCTCGGTACCGAATGGCAATCAGGCTCCCTTGGCGAACACATGGAGGGCTGTGCGGCCCCCCAAAGAAATGCCACCCCACACCATTACTGACCCACTGCCAAACCGGTCATGCTGGAGGATGTTGCAGGCAGCAGAACGTTATCCATGGCATCTCCAGACTGTCACGTCTGTCACATGTGCTCAGTGTGAACCTGCTTTCATCTGTGAAAAGCACAGGGCACCAGTGGCGAATTTGCCAATCTTGGTGTGCTCTGGCAAATGCCAAACGTCCTGCACGGTGTTTGACTGTAAGCACAACCCCTACCTGTGGACGTCGGGCCCTCATACCACCCTCATGGAGTCTGTTTCTGACCGTTTGAGCAGACACATGCACATTTGTGGCCTGCTGGAGGTCATTTTGCAGGGCTCTGGCAGTGCTCCTCCTGTTCCTCCTTGCACAAAGGCAGAGGTAGCGGTCCTGCTGCTGGGTTGTTGCCCTTCTACGGCCTCCTCCACGTCTCCTGATGTACTGGCCTGTCTCCTGGTAGTGCCTCCATGCTCTAGACACTACGCTGACAGACACAGCAAACCTTCTTGCCACAGCCCGCATTGATGCCATCCTGGATGAGCTGCACTACCTGATTCACTTGTGTGGGTTGTAGACTCCGTCTCATGCTACCACTAGAGTGAAAGCACCACCAGCATTCAAAAGTGACCAAAACATCAGCCTGGAAGCATAGGAACTGAGAAGTGGTCTGTGGTCACCACCTGCAGAACCACTCCTTTATTGGGGGTGTCTTGCTAATTATCTATAATTTCCACCTGTTGTCTATCCCATTTGCACAGCAGCATGTGAAATTGATTGTCACTCAGTGTTGCTTCCTAAGTGGACAGTTTGATTTCACAGAAGTGTGATTGACTTGGAGTTACATTGTGATGTTTAAGTGTTCCCTTTATTTTGTTGAGCAGTGTATATCCAGCAAGCTCTAAAAGGCCAATGCACTGGAGTAATAAGTTAAGGACCAGAATGGCAGCTATGGAGGATTCTTCAGACACTGCTTTTACTGAGGCAGAGCACATGATGAATGACATATGCATGCTTAATATACTTTCATACCCCCACGAGAGATGGCTCAAGTACGCAAAACATTAGTTCCTGGAAACAGCCAGGTCTCTAGGTGACTTGGGGTATAAATTTCACAGGACTGGAGCTGGGAACCCAAGCAATTTGCTGGATGACTTGTCTTAGGTGGGCTAAGCATAATGGGAGTTGCAGTCCTGCCAATGTTTGAAGGCTGCTGTTGAAGACACGTGATGGGCAACTCAACAAAAAAAATTAAAAAATTATATATAAATTTTTTTTTATGTCAATTAAAACTCAATAAGGAAAAAATGCATCATATTAACCAATAAATTAGCATTTGTCAGTGTTACGCTGTCACAAACATATAGCTCACAAGGAAGAGGTTTTATAGCCAAGAAGGGATTATAGATGTACCTCGCTCTGTTACCTACAGGTTGGGTGTTAACCACATATGTGCAATAAATTCAAGCTTTAATAAGAACACCTACAAAACAAACACAAGCGCTCAATTGGAGTACAGTCTAGATTAGGAGGTTTATCCACTAAATACTGAAACTAATTTGATAAATTTACACCAAATTTTCTAATCAGTTTATTTGCACTTTTTTTTTTTTTTTTTTAATTTCTCCATGAATGATAAATTAGACAAAATGTTGGGCATTTTTATGGACTCCCCACAACTTATGGTTTAGAGCAGAGGCAGGCGAATACAGCACAAACATTACACACACTCTTGGGAATGCAAGGGGCCAACTCCTCTGACCCATTGTCTCTGTATTCCCCAGGACAGATAGGAAGCCTGTTGATATACAGAGATTTTGCTCAGCTAAGGAAATACCACATACCTCAAACAGCACACAGACAAACAAACGGAAAAAAAACGTAATATTTATGTACAGGATGCAATGTCAGATCTGCTATCCATTGGTAATGCCAACTGTGCACATTCACATATTTTGTAAATTTTCCCCACATATATTAACTGGTAGTCGATTCCAGCTGGATGTTAAGTGTTCTACACTTGTTCTAAAGGGACATTAAAAGAATAATAACTAATACACTTTATATTCCTTTTTGCAACCTAAATCTGCCATCACTAACTTTTACTCTTAAGGGTGTCTGCAAGTATTATACTTGCCGAGACTGTATACTCTCAGTGATTTAGTAACAGATCTGTGTCTACCCCGATGACAAACTGGAGACCCTGTTGTGAGAAATTTTCTGGTCTACTAGAATAGACGTTAGATCATGTGATGCGATGGCTTTGTTCATGTATCTGTTCCTATACCACCCAACCGCAGCCTGCATGTCCCATCGCAGCCCAAGGATAATAGTTTGAAACCCACATTGCAACGATCACCAAAAGTAGCATTGAACATGACCTCCCTATGCGTTTTTTAGACTGCTGCCAATGAAAGAAAGAATACAAATAAAAAAAATAAAAAAACATCTATTGCATGGTACTGGACGTCGGGGATGTGCCTCCAAATGCCATAAATTAAATTAGTGGGGGAACACTACCTATTCTAGGACTGTCCAAACTTGGCCCTCTGTCAGCTGATAGTCTGCGTTTTGCCCAATTCCCTGCAGCTAACTGTACTCCTAAATTCATCGCGAGCAATATATTCTTTGCTTGCACGGCTCAAGTGACAGATTCTGTCTTTAACAGTCTTTAATTCAATTGCGCTAGAAGTTCTGAGCATTCCTGCACCTTTAACCCAGCAAGACTCGCATGCTACAGGATTGATGCCATCTGGGATTTATCTATAATCTGATGAGCCGAAAAGTCTTCAAATGGAATTCTTCTCAGGAGCAAAGCATACAATTGTAACTGGAACGTAAAACTTCAAGCTGTGCATTAAACCTAGATCATTTAACAAACAGGTCAAATAATTGATAAAGCTATCAAAATACTGCATTAATGCAAACATCTTTCTAGCAGACTGTAAGATATATGTTTTAAACATACAGTCAGGGCAGACCAGAGGCATTATGTTACTTGCCCAAGCCTGGAATTACTAAGTTTGCCATCTTCTAGAGCAGGTCTGCCCAAAAGGTAGATCCCCAGATGTTGTAGAACTACAATTCCCTTGATGTTTTGCATGCTTTCAGAATGCTTTAGAATGACAAAGCATCATGGAAGCTGTAGTTCTACAAACATCTAGGATGGGGATCTAGCCAGCAGCTGCAGACTTGAATACAAGTAAAAGTTTACTATATTTAGGGTTGGCAATGGGGAGGGGTGGGAAGGGTGACTAGATGGTGGATTTAACACTATAGGGTCAGGAATACATGTTGGTGTTCCTGACCCTATAGTGTTCCTTTAATGCTTACTACTAAATACCTACTTGCATGCCGGATGCAGAGTTCTGTATTTTGACAAATTGCTATTGCAACACTCTATTCAGCCAGGGTCACCCCTTTAATATTGTTAAGTCTGGCAAGGTGCCAAAAGGCATTACATTTCAGCCACAGCCACGAGCTGCAGATTGCCACCCCACACCTTACAGTAGCCATTCAGCTTTGGATCAAACCCAGCCTCTGCACTGTAGTTCCAATTTAACCCTGACAGTGCCAGGATCTATTACATCTCACCGAAGACTAGTAAACATGATCCGATGTGTTTCAAAATATTCTGCAGTGGCCTTACACCTGCAAGCTGGCTCTGTACTGTTGTGTGTACTTGTTTGTACTTTATTAAACTGGAGACATAGAGATAAACAGACTTTGCATGTATTCTGGCAACAAGTCTAACTAGGAACATTTGGCAATGTATCAGAGTACACTGGCCAGCTCCAATATACGAGGGAGGACTCCTTGGAGTTTAGTGTACTCAATGAAACTCTGTTTTCCTTTTTTCCACAGCTGCCCACAGACTATACTGCACTGAACAGCGAGCTCTGTCCAGCAAGGATTACTCATCAAGCAAATACTGTTTTGTAAGAATGTTACTTTAATAACTACCATGAATGCTCCCATACAGAGACAGAGGCAGAACAAGATTAAGTCTTAAGTGTCTATATGTATCCCTTTTAATTTTACCTCTTATTATTCTAATCAATCAAAGCACAAATCCCACACCTCGCTAATTTACTCCCAGAATCACTAACAAGACACAGGTTTGAAGCATGCCCCTTTTTTTTCCGCTCGGCTGCTAATTCAAGAAAAACATAATAAATAAAAGATAAGCTACTGCCTACCAACCAAATTTGATTTTTTGACACACTTTATTACAAAAAATGTTTTTGTTTTAAAATTAAACAAACCAGCAAATCTGATTTTGATAATTTTTCAAACCAAAATCATAGGATTGTTTTTTTGTTTTTCTGGACTACCAAATGTAGAAGAAAGAAAAAAAAAAAAAAATGAATAAAACACACAACTTGCTTCCTTATCCCTGCCCCGTATTCCTTTAAGAGTCCACTAAACACAGCATAATAACCAGACATAAGTCAGAAATAATCTCAAAAGCCATGTGTCATGTAATTTACACAATCCCCATACATTTGTTTTATGGTTTATGTTTTTTTTGTTTTTTTTAACTCCTTAATGACTAAAGGAGGAACCATTTAAAGATCGAATATTAAACGTCCCACTCATTTAACGGTGACAATTTGACAGCACGTAATGTCAATCCCCGTCTGAGGGCACCCAGTTGATATTTTCAGCCAATAAAGCGACGTCCGCAGCTTCCGGCTTCCGAAACTCTGCAGAAGCACGTCACCGGACCAATCGAAAGCCTCGGAGTCCGGCAAGGCCCAAGGTAAGGAGGCAAACACTTTGCTCCATTACCAGGGAATCTGGCCAGGGTACTCCTCACACCATAACCACAACAGCAGGCTGTAGTGGTAATGATTATTACCATTTAAAGGTTGAATGCATTACATACACGCAGCTAACATTGTTACGAACTCATTCCATGGACACGTCCATTCAAATGCTGGAACTGCAGATAATTCTCAAATCAGGTTTCTGGATCGAACGTTAGCACATTTATAGATTGGAACGCCCACTGTGGATTTACTTACATGAGGTCAGGTCGGTGTTTGTGAAGGATTGCACAGAATGCCAACCCATCTCGAAACGAAGTGGTCATATTGGTAATCGACACATCTCGATACCCATCACACTGCTGCTTGCACCACTGCTGTAGGGCTTTTATAGCAGCCATCCTTGAAGAAAAGGTGGGGGGAGAGAAAAAAAACAAAAAAACATTAAAACGAAAAGTGAAAGAAAACTATCTATATTTGAAACTGTACACACAGAAGAGGAAAAAAAGCACACCAATATAGACGTTTATTACATTTTATATAGAATTCTGATACTTGTAAATTATACCCTAGCCAGCCTTGTAGGAATTCTAGTAGAGATTATTTTCCACAATTTAACCCTTATTTCGTGTCTTATTTATCTATATGTCCCTGCACTGTTCCATTTTTCCACCGGACTAGACACGTGTGTTCACTGTTTTGCACGTAGTAGCAGCGGGTCTGCCAATAAACCCTCTCTCGAAATATCATGACAGCAGCACAATATTAGTCTAGCAGGTGTGAGGATCAAGAATCACAAGCTGTATGAGCCGCTGGGTATTTTCTGTCTTGCTCATTTCTGAGTCTTCTAATGCTGCACTGCTGGGTCTGAATACTCAGCTTTGAAGTGCTAAACCTCCCTTTACACCATTTGCAATTCTAGCAGAGGCTTACTGCTGATTTAAATGCACTTTTGTACCATGCGCCACATAGAGCGAGGGTAACAGCACATCACTACATGTAAAGGAACGCAAGAGGAATAAAAATTAAAATAAATAAAACATACTATAATGGGAGGATAATGAATAAATACCTTCTATCTGCACCTGAAATTGCTTTATGTCCCTACTGCAAAGAGACGTGCGTGCACCAATGTGTTCTCAACGCCGTTTATGGAATTACAAAAAGTGTTACATGTTGCCACATGCAGTGCATTGTGGGATGTAAAATAATGCATACCCACGTCACTGGCACAGTTCTCTAGACAGACCGTTGGGGAATGTATTGGAGACTGAAGCATAGTTTGCATTGGGTGTGTAGCACTCAGAATGGAACATTTATTTATTTATGACTCATTAAAATGAAATCACCTGAGAAGTTGTAACAGCTTATACTATTTTTAAACTTTTTTCTAGACGAGCCGTCAGATTTAATGTATATATGCTTTTACTTTTCTGCATAAATTAAAGGGAAAATTTATATCTGTTGTTTTTTTTTTTCACCATTATCAGTGAAAATGATAAATTATGATGTCTTTTTTGACCATTATTTTGTAATTTCCCCTTGCTTACATATAAATAAATTCCCTCTTCTTAGTACATCACCTGGTTTACCCTTGCTCTGTGGGAGCAGGCATGTTTAACATCTCTCTCGTCATAAGTTACACTTATTAGCCAGGACCATCAAAAATCTCAACAAGTTAAACTGGTTTACAGCAGCTACTTGAGTTGGCCGGGACTTGCTATGACATCTGGACTCTTAAATGCACACTAGCTCTCAGATAACTGCATGGTGTTACAGATAAGGTGCTTTCTAAGAAAGAGGGTTTAAAGATGGCCGCCCGCAAAAGCCAAGAATTAGCTAGAAAAAAAAAACACTTTAAAACGGTATTAACTTAAATCTATGCATCACAAAATAATACACACACAGACTATTACATATCACATTTATTTGTTAATATTAAAAAGTCATGACAGTTTTCCCTTAAAGTCACAATTACTCTTCCTTGTATTCAATAATTATAGCATTAGGAACATGGTACCTAATACTATCAAACAGGGTCTTTGGCAATATATGGTTCCCTGTTAACATTTGTAAAGCGCGGTTTAATATGCTGGCACTACATCAATCCCAAAAATAATAAATATATTTAAGGGTTTCTCTATGCACCATAACTACTAGAGCCCACTGCAGTGGTTCTGATGCCAGGTGCACCTTGACTCTGTTTTCCGGTGATGGGGCAAACTGTTGCAAAATCTGGTTTTACCTGGGTCTCCACTAAGCACTGAGGGTCCTGTGTGGCCGGTGATGGGCACCCGGCTTCTGCAGAGCTGCACAAAGCGGATGTCGAACCCGCCCGTCATTCATTGCCCGAGAGCATCATCGAAGTGCTTTCAAACAATAAATGAAACTCTAAATACAGAAATATGCACGGAATTAACATTAGGCAACCTGGAACTTGTCTTCAAGTCTTCAATGATGCTGCCAGCAGCAAAGGGGTTAAACTATGTACCGCATTCAATACTGAAATGCTGCACAGACTACGACTACAGGCACCATGACCACTTCAAATCCCTGAAGTGGCCATGATGTTGGAGTAACTAACGTTGGGGTGCTCCTTTTTGATTTTACTTTAGGCCCGTTCCCTTTTCCTTAATAAAATAAACTCACTTTTTTTCCCCATTGCCAACATAGTCTCCTCGACGCAGACCAAACTGCCCTCTAGGAGTTAATCATATTTATCTCCGGTCAAATCCGATGTTTCTCATAGTAAAGTAATGGGGACCTACGTCATATGTGTTCCCAGCAATCAGATGCTTCTCTATTAGTTTCGTAAGGTTTCCCTATACTTTTAAAGAGCATTCTCAGAGAGTGAGGCAGGGAACCCTCCCAGCTGTTGATCAAACTTAGAACTTTGACAAAAGTGCAAATTGGTATTTTTATAAAATGAAACAGAATGGACCATCAGTTTGCCATTAAAGCACTCCAGCATGCTGAACTGCTTAAGGGGACTGGTCTATTCCATATTTTGTAAAATTCTAGTCTGCAGTAAAAAGTTACTGAAGATAGAAAAAAAACAAAAAACGTGTTTGTTAATTTTGCTTGCCAATCCATTTGGGTCCCGTCCACCCCTCCTTATTCTTAACACTTCACAAGCAACCTATTGACACTTGGGCCCACATCTAGCCCCTTGGTCTCAGGCAGCCGTCTAAGGTCACCTAATGGTTAGCCCTAAAACTTTTTTTTTTTTTTAAATTAACAATACTGTGATACATGTGTTAAAGCAAAATGGTAAAACTGTGTGTAGTGTAATGGTTAGTCCTGCTTTCATGTTCACTCTCTCCTGGACCGGTTATGGTGGGTCTTGGAGATGCAGATCTTTAAAACTACATTTTACCTGGATGCTCATGGAGCCTTCAAACATATTGATCCTGAAATTTATTAAACATTAAATAACTCTGGACTGCATCTACGCATCAAAGACTTACGAGAGATCTTAAAGAAGATAAAAATTGGCAGGAAAATAAAATTTAATTTTTTTATATATATATTTATATATATATATATATATATATATATTTTTTTTTTTATATGAAAAAAAAAGGATTATAAGGGTAAAGATTCTAATGCTTGTTTCGTAATAAAAATATCTATATTTCTTGTGGAGCTATCCTTTTTCACAGATTTGTTTTACTATGATTTTGAAAGTACCTTAAGCCAAGAGCTACACAAGTACCTTAACTCAGGTATGCCCAAAAGGTGCCCTCAGCTGCTCCAGGACTACAAGTCCAATAATCATAGGAGCTAGATTAAAGACGTCTACTTGAATGACACAGTTGCAATGTAAGTGTTAGGTTTTATTATTGCACAAAGCAAGTTTCATTTGTAAGAGAATTGAGCATTTCACATTATTTTTATTTCATTGACTTTATTTTCTTTCTAGTAGCCATTAAAGGCTCTTTAGACTGTAAGCTCCCTTGACCAGAGATCTCCTTTCCTTTGCCATTGTGTGTGCCCAATTTCCTTTTGTCAGCAAATACATGCAGGTTTGTTTGCCTGCTGCACAGCGCTCTGGGTTACACCAACACCTTATAAATAAACTAAGCTTAATGCCAGACTTTAAAGGAAGTTATTTAAGCCATGTTGTGACCAGCGGTACACCAAGAGGTCATGTGAATTTCTTCACAGGAAGGTGACATATATATACGATGGAAAATTGCATATCTCACAGACATGCACTAACACATAATCACGTATGACAATGAGAACTTGCATATTACACAGACATGCACTAACACATGATCACATGATGTAATATGTGTTAGAGGTAAAGAAATGTATTTCCCAAGGCATTATATTTCTGATTACCTGCAGCAAGCAGAAATTATTACATAACAGGGGACCCACTGATAGGCTACCTTAAAACACTGATGGCTAACTTGGCAAACCAGATGCATGTGAACTACATCTCCAAGCTGCTCTGCCAGCTTTTGTGGTTGACAGAGCATCATGGGAAATGTAGTCACCAATCTGCAGAGCCCAGGTGAGCGATCACTGACCAACAAGGATTTTGAGAGCAAGTTACATTGTTACAGGTGTAGTGCTAGAAGGGCAGGAACCTAGAGAATGGGCAATGGCCAGGGTAATAAAATGCAAATGGCTAGTCGGTACAGTGACAATCTGGTTTCTACAGTAAGCAATGAGAATTAACAAAAGTATAATGAACAAGCAACTGTAAGGCTGGCAACATTCCCAGAGTGTAAATAATCTTTGATATAAAAGCAGACTTTGCTCTCTTCCCTTAACATAACACAAACCTAGCTTCCCTTCTGAGATCACATTATACTTATATACAAACATATATATTGATACTTACAGACACATATACTATATTTATCTTATACACACATATACTATATTTATACACTAACAACTATATAACCTAAGGCAGTTCATAAATATACATGCAAATATTAAAATAGGAATTAAACACACATATCTCTATCACTACCTTTATAATGAGAAAAAAGAGACATACTATCTATACACACACATAATTTGATATGCATCCAGATAAAACGTGCTTGTCAAATAATGGGACAGTAAGCCTATATATCAGTCTATTTCTGAGCAGATACCCCCTTATTACACACAGGAGCTGTTATTACACACTGACACACTATGGGATTAGTAGCCAGCCAGCAGTCCCCATGCAGTGCAATGTACCTTTATACTGTAAAGCACCAGGATACACGATCCAGGATCTCGGCTTCACTTGGCTCTGAGGTCTTTCTGGCAAGCTGAGGCCCGGTGTCTCCCCAGTGTGTACAGCCGGCTCCCAGGGGCCCCTGGCTGGCTACCACCAGCTTGCAATCCTGCTGTCTGAGCTCAGAACACAGTGCAGGAGCTACACTGACAACGGGGGCGGGGCTTGCTGTATGGGGGCGGGGGAAATGGAACGGTGTGCTGGTGAGTATTGTTATGAGGGCGGGGCGAGAACAGGCTGGGAGACTACAGCTTCTGCAGAATGCTGGCTCTTTTATTAAAACTCCCCCTCCCCCCAAACAGAGACCATCTAGCGGTCAGTATATAAGTTTATTACTGGAGTAACAAGTGAGCTATACCTCAGCATTGGGTATCTTTTATATTATGTGATTGGAAAAAATTTGTAAAAATTGTATTTTCCTAGCAGTTGCAGTACCAGACATTGCTTCATGCTGTGAATTTAAAACTAAATTGAAAATGTTGACAAAATATCTGGAAGTTTTCCAGACCAACTATAGTCACAGTGTGACTACATTTTTGGTTAACTACAAATTGGTGTTTAGTTAATAAACTACATTGACTGGATGATGCTGTAAACTTTGAGCTACAACCAATTCAAAGCCAAATGACAAAATGTAAAGAAATTCTCTAACTCAATTATAGACAGCTTGGTTATTTTAGATAAAAAGGAATATTTCAAGCACCATAACCATTATAGCCCGCTGTGGTGGTTATGGTGTCAGTAGAGCCGTGGTTTCCTCCCACAATACTTTGTCAAACTGTTTCGTAGATCCTGCCAGGCGCCTACATCCAGAGCCCTGCTTCTGGATTCTTCTTCTAGGATAATGCGGTAAGCTCCTCTGAGCAAAGAGCATCATGCAGGGCCACGCTGATTGGTCAAAAATAGTAGCTGAGTGCTCTAACTTGGTCTAGACATCTGGCTTTTTATGCAGAAGAAGACGGGTTGTGGCATGGGTGTTGGGGGGAACTACATAAAATATCAAAATGTTCTAAAACAGTGTAATAAATTACTGTATGAGGGCAAAAAGGAAAATCTGGCACCATAGCCACTATAAAGGACTGTAGTGGTTATGGTGCAACAAGTATTAATATCATTTTGTAAATTAGATTTCTCGTACACCCGAGGCATCTGGGAGGGCAAAGTTCCAGCAATATTGAAAAGCATATAAGATAACTTTTTTTTTTTTTTTTTTTTACTTATTTTTGCTTTTTTCGCTATAAACACTG